GAGACGCCGACCCGGTAACAACTTGCGCAAAGTTGTCACTCAAGACCCAGGTCCGCCGGTCGTCCGGTTTGCAGTGAAAGTTAGGTCCGGTTTCATGTCGCATACAAATATATATCTCAATATCCTCAATATCTAATTCCCCTTGTTTCAAATTCCAAATGGAGCTTGGTTGAGGTCGTACCAGGACCGAACATGTCAGCGCTGCTGCTGCTGCTGCCACAAACCGCAGATGCCACCACGGGTCTGTCACTCCGCGGTGGCCGGGCACGCGGCCTGAGTACAAGAACGTCTCTGACAGCCGTCGTTCTAGACGCTGTTGTTGTTGCTGCTGTATATCAGCGCTGTTGTTTGGTGATTGTGCTGTCCGCGCTAAGGTATGGCGTGGGGGTTTGTGTAAGTAATTTGATGCTGCTACTTTTTGCAAATTAGTTTGCACGTTCCCTCCCGCCCAGTGATATCCGGTAACTGCCGTCAACTGTGTTCAGTTTTTAGCTGTGGTCTATGGGTACCTATGCAACTCTCTGGACCTCTATGCAACTCTCTGGGTATCCATGCAACTCTCTGGGTCTCCATGTAACTCTCTCGATCTCCATTAAACTCTCTCGATCTCCATGTAACTCTCTCGATCTCCATGTAACTCTCTGGATCTCCATGTAACTCTCTGGGTCTCCATGTAACTCTCTGGGTCTCCATGTAACTCTCTGGATCTCCATGCAACTCTCTGGGTCTCCATGTAACTCTCTCGATCTCCATGTAACTCTCTCGATCTCCATGTAACTCTCTGGGTCTCCATGCAACTCTCTCGATCTCCATGCAACTCTCTCGATCTCCATGTAACTCTCTCGATCTCCATGTAACTCTCTGGGTCTCCATGCAACTCTCTCGATCTCCATGTAACTCTCTCGATCTCCATGTAACTCTCTCGATCTCCATGTAACTCTCTGGGTCTCCATGCAACTCTCTGGGTCTCCATGTAACTCTCTCGATCTCCATGTAACTCTCTGGGTCTCCATGCAACTCTCTCGATCTCCATGTAACTCTCTCGATCTCCATGTAACTCTCTCGATCTCCATGTAACTCTCTGGGTCTCCATGCAACTCTCTCGATCTCCATGCAACTCTCTCGATCTCCATGTAACTCTCTCGATCTCCATGTAACTCTCTGGATCTCCATGTAACTCTCTGGATCTCCATGTAACTCTCTGGGTCTCCATGCAACTCTCTGGATCTCCATGTAACTCTCTGGATCTCCATGCAACTCTCTCGATCTCCATGTAACTCTCTCGATCTCCATCTAACTCTCTGGGTCTCCATGCAACTCTCTGGATCTCCATGTAACTCTCTGGGTCTCCATGTAACTCTCTGGATCTCCATGCAACTCTCTGGGTCTCCATGCAACTCTCTCGATCTCCATGTAACTCTCTCGATCTCCATGTAACTCTCTGGGTCTCCATGCAACTCTCTCGATCTCCATGTAACTCTCTCGATCTCCATGTAACTCTCTAAGTCTCCATGTAACTCTCTGGGTCTCCATGCAACTCTCTCGATCTCCATGTAACTCTCTCGATCTCCATGTAACTCTCTAAGTCTCCATGTAACTCTCTGGGTCTCCATGCAACTCTCTCGATCTCCATGTAACTCTCTGGGTCTCCATGCAACTCTCTCGATCTCCATGTAACTCTCTGGGTCTCCATGTAACTCTCTGGGTCTCCATGTAACTCTCTGGATCTCCATGTAACTCTCTCGATCTCCATGTAACTCTCTGGATCTCCATGCAACTCTCTCGATCTCCATGCAACTCTCTGGGTCTCCATGTAACTCTCTCGATCTCCATGTAACTCTCTGAATCTCCATGTAACTCTCTAGGGTCTCCATGTAACTCTCTCGATCTCCATGTAACTCTCTGGGTCTCTATGCAACTCTCTCGACCTCCATGTAACTCTCTGGATATCCATGCAACTCTCTGTATCGGATTATCCTCGTAGCACAAGTAGCAAATACTACGGGCCTCGCACTTTCAAGGGCTCCGCGCTAAATGCTTTCAAGCTATCAATTCCGGTTCAGTGATTCTGCACTTGCTCTATTACTATAGTACTATACTGCCTTCAACTTTCATGAACGACTGGGTGTTTAAGGTTAGCGATTTGTCGTATTATCTGGCTGTATAGCAAATGAAAAAATACAATTACTTTACTGTGCAAGTTAAAAATGTTTTAATGTTTCTCTTCATTTTAGGGCACCTTTATAAACATATGCTGCAGGCCCCGCACTCGCTTCATCCGGCACTCTCAGCGAGGGTAACATCGAGGGACTGAGGCTCCAACGCAATTAGCAAAGCGCGGCATTCGTCATCAGCCCGGCAGGACAGGGCTCCCAGGCGGCGCTCCGCCCGTTGGTACCGATGCCACTCGATCGCTCCGAGCGGGAGGCAAGAGCCGTACCGGCAAACGTGCGATGCGATCTCTCTCTCGCGCCGTGACTATCCACTCGCGCGCGAGTGCCGGGGAATACTGCCGAGAGAGAAAGGGACCCAATTAGAATTCACGTAGACGCTCATTGTTGACATCTCAACGTGTCTGTAAGTTCATATTGCCTACGACACATCGGCTATTTAATCAATTTACCCGTAAAAATCTCACTCAATACTCTTTTTCGGGAGGGTGCGACCACAAATTGAGTGGCCGAGGCGATGAGGCAGATACCCTTGGCCTGGCTGTTTATTTGTATAGAATTACCCGAGGTGCGAGCGTGCGCGTTGCGCCGGTCGCTCCTCCTGCTGCACCAGACGCTTCGCCCCAGATCCCAGCCAGATCCGAGCCAGATCCCAGCCCGAGCCAAATCCCAGCCCAAGCCAAATCCCAGCCCGAGCCAGATCCGAGCCCGAGCCAGATCCGAGCCCGAGCCAGATCCCAGCCCGAGCCAGATCCGAGCCCGAGCCAGATCCGAGCCCGAGCCGAGCCCGAGCCAGATCCGAGCCCGAGCTGTGAGTGTGAATTCGGGCCTCGGTACCAAGGCCCGAGGTTTAGTAATTATTATTTTTTATCCTAAAATCGGGAGCACATCGCGAGGAGTAACACAGACCTCGCTCTGCGTCCTGCCGCTACATTGGGCTTTTATTTGTAAGATATTTTAAGATAATTGATGACGAGCCGTGTTTATTATTATTCACGCGGGGAGGAAACCGGAGCACCCGGAGAAACTCCACGCCTTGCGTGAGGGGGTAAAACTCTATCCCCGTACAGATGTTGGTTAGTCTACTTGCTGTACTGCCTTCTCCTGGCAGTACAGGGCATGGCACCTTCACGACGCTCACGGGAAGGGAGTATCACGACATCTTTGTGTGATCCACCAACCCTCGCTGGTGCCTCCACAGTGCTGGATCTCAGGCAGCCACGTGCAGCAGCAGCATCATAGCTGCCACCACTACCACCGCCCGGCTATGCGGAGCCACAGAACGGAGGTAGATGTGCAGGACATTTAGCGAATTCTTTGACGGTCAACTTCACACGCGTGAACCACCCGCATCAGCTGCCGTTGCCGCTGATGCGGTTGCCCTGGGAAACCTCTCCTCCCCGGCGCTTCGCAGCGGGGCGGTGGTTGAGAGCGGGTGGCAGCCTCTCATCACGGTCTCGCTCATCTCCACTGCCCCCCCTCATCCACCGGTCGTGGCCACAGATCGGCATGCATGCCGCGTGGTGTGCCGCCGACAGCCGAGCCGGCCGGTGGCGGCCACGCTCGAGGTGGAGGGGAGTTTCGCACCCCATCTGCGCGCGGCGATCCACAAACCCTCGCTGTTGCCCCCACGGCGCTGGGCGACACAGACGACGACACGCACGGCGGCATTCTACTCACGCGGACCCGACCCTAACAAAATAAACCCACCGCGAATCGTAACGTCGGTCGCGGAATGCCCCACGCGCATAAACAGCTCGCTGGGATTCTTGCCCTCGCCGCCACGGCCGCCACGGCCGCCACGGTCGTCTCGGCGGGCGGTTTGGCTCGCCGTGGTCACCGCTCGCGGGGTCGACGTCTTGGGGGAAGGCCGCGGCGTAGGTCGGCAGGCCCTGGAAGCCGGAACCCGGGTCGGGGATTTCTCGCCGGTTGGATCGATGATGCAGCGCTCGCCGAGGTTCGCTCCGGTCGCGCGCTCGCTCTCGCCGGCAGCGCTCAGACGCCCTCCTCGTCACGTTCAAGTTTTAAGTTTATTTTGTTGAATCGCTCCACTACCGCTATGGTTACTGCCCGCGTGAACTTCGCTCGTTAATTTCTCCACCCACTTCGAGGCCCTGTTCGACACCGGACATCGACCCATTGGTTTCAGCCACCACAGTGTTCAACCACCACCACCACCATCATCTCACTGCAGGTCACAACAACACATTCACCCACCCACTCGCTCACTCGCCCACCCACACACTCGCTCACCCACACACCACACCACAGGACAAGACACGTCTATTTCCACTTCCTCGCACTGCTCAAACTCGTATATTACACATTCAGTAGTACTGTTTGTTGCCGACCGCTGGACGTGTTGGGCCTGTGCCCAGTAACCGTGGTTACGCTATTACATTTTTCTTATCACGTCTTCGCGGTGCGGATGCGTGCGATACAATCATTCTGCGTGGAACGCATCGTCGTCCGGGGTTTTGATCACAAAACAATTAGCAGCTTTTCTTAACGGCCACGCAATCACAAGACGGCCACGCAATCACAAGACGGCCCAGGGCGCTCGCAACGTCGTGACCCCACAGACGCGGTTTCTCCACGTGTGCGACTCGAGAAGGCAGCCCCTCCCTCTGCTATACAGGATGTCATGGGTTCGGTCCCGACCCTGGCACCTGGAGCTTGAGTGTCCCTTCCCGTGGTCGCGTGGATTTTTAACCCGGATCCTCCGGGTTTTCCCCTCCACATTTAGAATAAACATCACGCGATTAGAGTATTTGGCTGCTATAAATGTCCACGTGATGATGATGATAAGCCACTTTGTTGAGCTATCATTTGTGATAGCCAAGTCGCTTCTGAAAGAGAGCTACGTAGCTCAGTGGGCCTTACCTGATATAATAATAATAATAATAAAAACAAGGTTGATAGTTTTATAGTTTTACGAGCCCCAGGAACTTGACCACGAGCACCGCTCGCTGCCTCTGCTGCAGACACAGCTGGGACAAACGTTCTCACAACCCACTGGGCTGATGTAACGTGGCCACAGCCGCACCGATCGACACCGTTTCCCGGAATTTAGATACTAAACACCGATTATTTTTAGGAGTGCAATTTAGACAATTGCAAACGTAATGAAATTTCATATTTATATCGCTATGTAAATTAATTACGTAACAATAAATCGATTTATTTATGTATCCAGGAGAGACAGACCGAGCCGTAGGACTATTTTTTAGGAGGGTCCCGCTGAAACGTTGGGTTTTTATTTGCAAGATCTTTTCAGCCAATCAACGATGAGTCGTGCTTATTATTGATTAGTTAACGATGAGTCGTGCTTATTATTGATGAGTTTGATGAGCCGTGATTATTATTATTGATGAACTAACAATGAGTCGTGATTATTATTATTGATGAGTTAACGATGAGTCGTGTTTATTATTATTATTCACGTGGGAGGAAACTGGGGCACTCGGTGAAAACCCCACGCCTTGCATGAGGGGGAAACACCTCTATTCCCCGTACAGATTGAAAAATCAGATGGCGATTAATCCACTTGCTGTACTGCCTTCTACCTGGCGACCCAGGGCTCTGCCTCGACACCCACGGGAAGGGAGTTTGACGTAATCTGTGAGCGATCCACCAACCCTCGCTGCTGCCTCCACACAGCGCTGGATCACAGCACAGCCACGTGCGCAGCCACGTGCACAGCCACGTGCACAGCCACCACTCCCCCACAATGTAAATTACATGTCGTTAAAATTACATGTAATTAAAATTACATGACATTTAAATGCTGCCCATCTCTCTCTGCCAACCCCTCCCACCGCCCAGGTAATCGCGCACCCGTCCCTGTGCCCCGATCAAGAAGTCAAGCACGAGGTCAGAACATTTTTTTCAACCGGCGACAAAATCCCGATGTTTGCAAACGCCTCGGTGGTGGTGGGGCTGCGGCGGGTGGTAGCACCGGGGCACGGCCCTGGCAGACCCACTGGGGGCCTCCCGTCCTGGCTGCAGCGGACGAGAACTCGGGCGGCTGGGATGCGGTCAAGCCAAGGGTGGGTGGGTGGGTCGGGTGCGCGTTTAACAGAGGCTTCGTGATTCCACAGCCTCAGCCGGCAATTATGGTCACGATTCAAGTGAAGAACCGATTCTCCGGCTTCTGCAGATAAATATTAGGGTGAACGTAGCGCCCCCTATTAAATATAACATTGGCAAATAATAAACATCCGTTCTGTGACGTACGCGCGTCGATGGGTGTAGTGCCAGCTTCATTACGCCCCTCTGTTCCACGAGAAGTCAACCACACGTGTGATCGAAAGTTCGGTGACTTTTCAATAATTTCGCTCTCAATAATCATTTCTTTTTGATAGAACACCCTTTGCCACAACTTACATCGCAATCTCATCTCAAGTCGTTTGAAAGGGCACCCTCAGTGGCAGCTGCCCCTGTGCAGCACAAGGTGACTCAGCACCTGGCCTTGCAGGCGGACATTAGTCTGGCATTGGGGGACGATGCCCGCTGCTGACGTGCGCGTTCTGGGTTTGAACTTGTGCCGCGTTTCGCGTGTGTGACGCGTCCACGCAGCAGTGGGTCGCAGGCGATGTAGCCGTCGCACGCTGAACTCTGACCCCGGAAGTCTAGGTTCGACTCCCGGCACGCCAACAATCAGTGCCGGGGGATACAAAGACGGGCAGTTGTAACGTTGTCCATGCCCCCCCCCCCCCCCGGCTCCCACCCTCCCCCACTTCAATAGGTGCTCACCAACACCACTTTCCGCCAAAAATTCATCAGGGCCCGTCGCTGGAATCTTCTCGCGGAATAGGTGGCACGTGACCCATAGCCAGCGTGGTGCTCGCCGACACAGACAGACACGGCTGAGTTTATTAAGCCCCGGATCTTAAGCGTCGTCATCATCGTCGTTGCCATCTTCTTCCTTACGATCGATTACACAGCAGAGTCTGAAGACTCACAGGCAGGGGGCGTCGTTGCTGCTGCTGAGATACCAATTGAGTAATTCGTAACGTAAGTTCTCAGCAGTGGGATGTTTCGGTGAATAGCGGTTACATTGTGAGTGTGGGTTACATTAGCGTCGGTGGAAACCCCATTCAGAACAAGGGGAGAGAGAGAGAACACACAAACTCCACACAGAGAGGCGCCCTGGTCGGGGAATCGAACCCCGCTCCTTGCCGTTAGGCGCACGTGTCACCACCACGACGCCCCTGCCACCTTCACAATCGTCGTCGCCATCGTCATCTCAGTCGCCCCACGTCAGGCCGTTGGCGAGATCCCCGTCCGCGCGGGCCTGCATCGCGCCACCCGGCCCCACCGATCCGTTCGCCCGAACCGCGGCCTCCGGGGTGGCGGCGTCGAGCTCGCCGGGGCCCACCGCGGGCTCCGGCACGTCGAGGTACGCGCACAGGATCTGCGAGCGGCGGCGGAAGAGGCAGATGATGTCGTCGGCGAGGTGCTCGAGGCGCGAGTAGCGAACCTTCTCCGCATCGAAGACGTCGCGCAGCAGCGACACCACCTGCTCCTGCTCGCACGCACAAAGATACCCCGGATGGCCTTGACAGACAGTTGGGCCGAGTGCTGTTAACAAGCAGCAACTACCAAAGTGGAACGGCACACGGCGGCGTGGTATGGCCACGAACACGCACGGCCCGGCCGCCTTTCTCTCTCCCCGGTGCTTGTTGTTTACACACCGCAACAGGTGCTCATTTAAGGCTGGGTCGACCTAGGGGGAGGGCTGGTTCAAATAATCATCACCGATGCTGGCCATGAGCAGGAATCAAACTCGGGTCGCCAGGTTCGTAGCGCGCCGGGACATGCGTCTCGAAAAAAAACAAAAAAACCACGCGAACATCTGGCACGAGAAATCCTCCTCCGGGCCATCTGCTCGTCAGAGGTGGCACGCCGCTCTCGCCGCGCACCTCTCTCTGTGCACGTCGCTGGGTCTCAAAGTCATTGATGTAAGAGACAAATGAACGTGTTTCTTGTGTTAAGCAAGGTTACTGTTATAATAGCTGGGGGGAAAGAGACGATGGTGGTGATGATGATGATGATGACTACGACGATGGGAGGAGGGAATTCCAGTAGAAAGTGAGGTGACCTGCAGTGTGGCGAGTGTGCGGTGTGATGTTGAACCGCAAGGTGCACCTAGCCTGGCACAAACTTCGTGATGTCACCGCCACTCTATGGCAAATGGCGGCTGTTGTCTCAGTAGCATGGTGATTGTGGATGAGACAAAATCAGTGTCTGGTAGACCGAGTCTCCAACAGGGGTGGAGGAATCCGCGAGTCCATCCCAGACTGACCTTGAAGAAGCTGCAGAGGTCGCGGAGTGGCTGCGTGCACCCCAGGAAGCCCCAGGCCAGCACGGGGCTCACGTGCTCAGAGATGGCGTAGAAACGCGAGATGAATCCGTCCGGGACCTACGGGGAGCGGAGCGTTGGTGGCGGTCATGGTGATTGGTGGTCAGAGGTCAGGTGAGCCTAGCAGGGATGAGCCAGGAGAAGCGGGGAGCCTGGCAGGGATGAGCCAGGAGAAGCGGGGAGCCTGGCAGGGATGAGCCAGGAGAAGCGGGGAGCCTGGCAGGGATGAGCCAGGAGAAGCGGGGAGCCTGGCAGGGATTGGCTGGGAGCAGCGGGGAGCCTGGCAGGGATGAGCCAGGAGAAGCGGGAAGCCTGGCTGGGATGAGCCAGGAGAAGCGGGGAGCCTGGCTGGGATGAGCCAGGAGAAGCGGGGAGCCTGGCTGGGATGAGCCAGGAGAAGCGGGGAGCCTGGCTGGGATGAGCCAGGAGAAGCGGGGAGCCTGGCTGGGATGAGCCAGGAGAAGCGGGGAGCCTGGCTGGGATGAGCCAGGAGAAGCGGGGAGCCTGGCTGGGATGAGCCAGGAGAAGCGGGGAGCCTGGCTATGCCAGCCGTGAACTGGGGCGTGACGACCGCCGTGCCTCGTGGGATTCATTCCACGATTTACGGCTGCGCGTGGTGGCAGCGGCGTGAGACAGATTGGACTGGGCGGCCGCGTCGCCCCACACCCCCCCTTCCTCACACCAGTGCCTCCTACCATGCAGATCGCCGGGTAAATCAGTGGTGCTCAACATTGTTGGTACACCGGCCCCCCAAGTTAAGACCGCTCGGACCCTGTGCCTCCCACAACCCCCCCAGCTGCAAAAACAAAACCAAGGTCACAAATGGTCCCAATACTCAAGAGAGGACGCGCTTCAATGCCTCGAGACAATGTGCTGTTAGTAAGGCATGCGTTCCATGTTGTGAATCATCGGTGTGTTTGGTGTTAGTAAGGCACGCGTTTGACGTTGTCTTAAAGCCCGGGAGCTGAATTTGCAGTAACGGCTCGGCTCTGGCTCGGCCTCCAACACGGCCCAGCTCAGGCTTGAGCCGCTCGGTTGCTCCCGAAGGCGCTCGCGCGAGCGGCCCGGCCGCGGCCTGGCCCGGGCTCAACTCACGGAACTCTGCTCCGAGCACGGCCGGAGACCATGTTCTGAGCCGAATTCAAGTTAAGCCGCGTGGCTTTGAGCCGCGTGGCTCACTCGAGCCAGAGCCAAGCGCCAAACAAGGGCCCGATGTCAATCCCTCGTGCAGGGCTTTGGCGCGGCTCTGGGGCGGTGACGCGATGGTCGCCGGCACTCGCACCTGCAGCAGCCTCCGCTTGGCCTTGAGCACCGACCAGCAGGCGGTGGCCAGCGCCTGCACGCACGCAAAGACAAAGATCCCCCGTGTAGCCTTAACAGACTGTTGGGGCAAATGCTGTTAGCGAGGAGCATCTACGATTAGCACGGTTGGCTACATACGGTGCGGAAGAAGTTCAACATACGTACATACGCACAAGGCCAGCACAGCACACACGTGTGTGGGTGGCCAGCACCACGCCCGACCAATTTTTTCTCCCTAGTGGTGACGTTTATACATTGCACCAGGTACTCATTGGAGGCTGAATCGACCCAGGAGAGGCCCAGGACTGGTTCAGTTATTCGTCACTGATGTTGGCCGTGAGCGGGAATCCAACTCAGATGGTCGGATTCACAGCGCGGCGTGCTAAGCGCTACACTACCCCCACACAGACAAAGATCAATGATCCTCCGTATATCTTGACTTAAAGCTTTCGGTAAAGTCACGTAGATAGGTTCAAAGAAAATAACAAAAAATCTTCGATCGCAACACAAGCGGTCGTCATCAGGAAAAAAAACCTTTTTCTACCTCCGTATATCCTTAACAAATTGAAGGGGCGACTTCTGTCACAGGCAATGATAACGAACCACGCGAGAGCCCAAGGAGACACAAGATTATTTTGCGTGGGACAAATTGGGCTGCAAACAGAACCATAGGGTGAAATTTGTCACTCAGAAAATCGAGGCGAAACTTATTTTCTAATCAAGACAAAAAGCAATTTCAGCAAGGACACGAGCGTGTGATTCGCCCACACGTCTGGGGTGCGTGATCGACGGTCGTTACTCGAGAGCCACGTCACGGGCGGCAGGGTGGGTGCGCGGTGGTGACAAGCATGCCTCGCGGCGCCAAGCGGCCAGGTTCAATTCCCGCAATGTTAGACAGGGGGCCGCTAGAGTCGAACCGCGAGCCTCTAGCGTCGAGCGGCGATCGTGCCGCTACCGCCGGGCCACTGCGTGGCCGCCTGTGCCAGCGGCCCCGCTCCTGGCGCAAGAGGCATGGCGGGGTTTTCTCCGGGTGCTCCGGGTTTCACGCTACACGTATAAACCGCTCATGAACGGAGTAGAACAAACATCCTAATGTAGGGCCACAGAGCTCGGGCAACGATTGGCGCCGGATCTGGCTGCCTTCCCAAGCGGCTTGCCCGCGGTTTCCCGCGCCTCCATGCGAAAACCGCATGTGCTACAAATTGCGCGGCGCTCTGCGCTGCAATTTTCACGAGCGATGCTGTGCAAAAATAAAAATAACTATATGATGAGTGTGGCAATCATCGCGCCCGTGCCGCCGACTCGGCAAGATCCCGACAAACGGTTAATATTCGCGCGACGTGCCGACCCCCCCCGAGCATGGCCGTGCCGCGCTAATGAGGCCTCGTTAGCAGCGCCGGTTCTGCTGACGGAATCCGGCGGAGCCGTTTGCCGGGGGTAGGGAAGAATGACGCCCGACAGGGAACCTCTCGCCGGCGCTGGAGCTGTGCCGTGTTAGCGCGCCTCCTTAATAATGGAGCTGGGTTGGAACCCAAGGGCCGGAGAGGTCAGCGATGGTCGGGACTGGGAGGGTATGGTAGCAGTACGGACTGGGCAGCAATGGTCCAGGAGGGCGGCAGTGCTAGGGGGCAATGATGCAGAAAGAGGGGGGGCAGCGTTAGGCACAGGATGGCGGTGATGCGAGGGGGGAAGAAGGTGGGAGTAGGTACGGGGTGGGGGGGTGGGCAGCGATGGGAGGTGGCGCGGCAGGGCGGTAAGTGGTGGCAATAGTACTTGGGGGCCCAGGGGATGCGGGGAGAAACCGCTGCCCGTTGCCAATTAGGGGAGGCTGCCTGTGGTTTGCGCAGCCGGGCGAGCGCGACTCTGGGACCGACCGCCGAAGCGCCGCTTGCCGGTAGGGAAAACGAATCGATGGTCACGTCTGTGTCGCACACGCAGGCTCCGCCACACGGCGATCCGGCCCCCGTGTGTGTTCGGTGCGCGCGAGGGCGGGGTTTGAAGGGTGGGGGGTGTGGGGTGTGGGGCGGTGGAGAGTGGAGAAGCCGGCGCGAGCGCTACCGTCTCCTTGAAGCCGTCGGACAGCCAGCGGTTGTGCACGACGGCCAGCACGGTGGACGGCGGGCTCTCCAGGTCCTCGAAGGCGTCCATCAGGATGAAGTCCAGCACGATGTCGAAGAAGTTCATGCAGCGCACCTGCACGGGCACGGGGCGGGAGGGGTGGGGCACCTCGCCAGTGAGTCGTGCTGGTGGCCGCGGTTGTGGCAGTGGTTGTGGTAGTGGTTGCGGTAGTGGTTTCGGTAGTGGTAGTGGTTGTGGTAGTGGTTGTGGTAGTGGTTGTGGTAGTGGTTGTGGTAATGGTTGTGGTAGTGGTTGTGGTAGTGGTAGTGGTTGTGGTAGTGGTTGTGGTAGTGGTTGTGGTAGCGGTTGTGGTAGTGGTGCTGCTGGTGGTGCCGCCCTCACCCCACGTCCCTCGAGCTCGGCCTGCGTTGTGGCCCAGTGCTCGGCCTCCTCCGAGTAACGCAGCATCTCCTCGTAGGCCTCCACAAAGCCCTTGGGATCCTGAGAAACGCACACACAACAACAACAGTCGCGGTTCGCCACTATGTGGCGGTGACGTCACCACAGCCCTTGTGCCAGGCTAGGTACAGGCCATGTGAAGTGTCGAAGGCTTGCTGACAGGTCACGGGACAGACCCAGGTTTACTCACAACAACTCTCTCACCCACTCACCCAATCACTCGCCACACTGCAGGTCACCTCACTTCCCTTCCGGCTTATTCCCTTGCACTGTCCCACTTTGGATTCCCCTCCTCCCATCATCGTAGTCGTCGTCGTCATCACCATCATCATTGCCTCTTCTCCCCAAGCTGTTACAATAATAACCTTGCTCAATACTCTTTGGTTCTATTCGGTAAAGTCACGTAGGTAAAAAAATAAATAAAACAACAAAAATCACGACGTTTCGGCCACAACACAAGTGGCCTTCATCAGGTGAAGGGACCAGACTGTCTCGAGGACAGCGCTGGAGTGAAACACAGCCAAGCTCAGACCGCGACCTTTAAGCTGTGCGAGAGAAATTAAGGTGCCTTGACAAAGGAATTAGCATAAAAATTAGCATTTAATTGGCCGACTTAGCATGATGAACGGTGTAGAAGTGGTGTACATGCGGGTGAACATACTGGTTGGCGAGGGGGGGGAGGGGGAGTTTACCTATTGATGGTGTGAAAAGGGAATTTTAAGAGCTGCGAAAGGTTGGGGTACCACTACTTGAAAAAATATACTGTACCATTGAAAATTAGTTTAATGTTTGGTTCGATTTAGAACATCTTTCCAATGGTTGCTTAATTTGAAACCATCTTCTCGGTTGAAATTATGTCTATGTTTGTAGATCTGAATTGCCTCGTGAACAAATCTCTGATAAAAACCCGTGGGTTTGCAAAGAACCTTGGTATCGGAGAAAATTATATGTTTAATAGCGCAATGTTTAATAGCGCTGGTTGTTGCTGGCCGCTTGCCCCTTTGGGCCTGCGCTCAGCACAGCCCGGCGCACGGCGACAGCATCACGCTCCGAAGGACACGCTCACAATTGGCGATGGGAACTGCTTTTGAGCGATTTTCTGGTGAACGCTCATTCTTGCGGTCGCGTTGTCGACTCTCTGTGGTTCAGCAGAACTACGTAGATCGGCAGCGCTCCACCGATTACGCCTCTTCAGCCAATATGGATCTTTCGATTTAAAGCTTTCGTGACTGCAGGGATTCATCTTCTTGGTTCTTCTGGTAAAGTCACGTAGAATGGGGATAAAATAATAATAAAATATAAAAATTCTCACGACGTTTCGGAGGCAACACAAGCTTCCTTGATCAGCGATCTTGCTGTGACTGTCCCACCTGAAGACGGAAGCTTGTGTTGCCTCCGAAACGTTGTGAGAATTTTTATTTATTATTTGTATTTTATCCCCATTCTACGTGACTTTACCGAAAGAACCAAGAAGACAATGTGGATCTCCCTGTAAACCGCAACTCTAACCGACGCTCGCCCCCTAGTGTCCACCCATCCCATCTACACGGCCAGCACACCTCCCGCCTGCACTGCCAATCATCCCAACTGGGCTGCGTGCACACGACGCACATCGCGATGATGATGTACCACGTGACGTGAATGCAAGAATCTCCGCGACTCTTCCCTTTAACCTAAACGCGGCCTCCGAATTGCAGGAGTTCCCGGGCAGCGATCGAGCGTCGGGAGGGGGGTGTGGTGGTGGGGGGTTCGGCACTATTCATGATCGTCAGCGGTACCTTGCCAGCCTTGACTAGCAGCCCGGCGATGATCAGCCGCCCCATGTTGGAGAACATCTTCTTGTTGAGCTCCTCCTCCAGCAGCAGCTGAGAGACAGAGATCCCCGTGGAGAATTATATTACGAAGTGGCAAGCGCTGTTAGTGAGCGGAGCGGGACAGTGGAGCGAATGCGCGGCGCGGGCATTCGAGAGGTACCTGGAAGGCTTGCCGCACGCAGTGAAGTTTCGCCAGGTAGTCCATGTCGCTGTAACAGTCTAGCATCTCCGTCCTGCCAACAGGCGCACGCACGATTAGACAGAGACAAATCTCCACGTCATCGACGTCACGCACGCTGTCGTAACAGACTCAACGGAGCGCGCAACGTCACAACGTCCGGCGGACATTACTGCAGCCGACCGACACGGCCGGTGGTGCTAATACGGATGCCGTTGTTTTTGCTCGTTTCTCGAGCAAACACTACCAGGGGGGAACGGTGGTGTGGTGGGCTAGCGGTGGGCTCGTGTCTTGTGCATTGCCAAGCGAGTGTCTATTGGTCGACCGCTAGCGGCCCGTGGTTGCGTTGCTGGGCTAGCGGTCACATTGCGGGGTCGGCCGCGCTGACCTCAGACTGCGGCAGGTGACGTGGCCGCCCCTGACGAGCCGCGCCGCCTCCTCGTAGAGCGCCAGGCGACCCCGCGCCCCCCGCTGGGCCTCCGTGCCCATCTCCTCCACCAACTTCACGCGCAGAGACAAAGGTCCGCACGCAGACGCGCGCGTTCGTATACAGAAGCGTTCATACAAAGATCCCCCATGTAGCCTTCAACAGAGTTAACACGTAGGCTTTCGCGACCAATATTATTCATAATAAAGGTTTTTGGGTTAGATCGCGTTATTTATAAATGTTCATATCAGGTGCAGTGATTAGAGGCGGAGGGGGGGGGTATTGTAATTATATAATCGATTAGTAATGAGTTAAATGATGACGTCACCCTGCTGCTCTATATAAAACCGGGAGCAAGCGAGGGCTTTACCATTCTGGCGAATTGCCCGATGATGCTGGATGTATTTACCAGCGAAACGTCGTACTCAAACTGTAAATGTTGTGGATTCACTCTTCAACACACCGGTGGGCTAAAGTAGTGAATTATTTGTCTTTTGTCAACGTGACACTTATTTTGCTGATTGGCCGTGTCGGGTGGTGGAGGGTTACGACACATTTATAAATAACGCGATCTAACCAAAAAACCTTCATTATGAACTTCAACAGACTGTTGGGGCAAGTGCTGGAAGCGAGTAGCACCTGTGAAGGCCGGCAGGGCACGCCTATGAGGGTGTTGTGGCAAACACCACGCTCGGCCGTCTTTGTCTCCCGAGTGGCGATGTTTACATAATCACCACTGTTGCTCGTAAGCGGGAAATGGAACTGGGGTCGTCGGGTTCGTAGCGCAGCACGCTAACCACTGCAATCACTGCTCCCCACGTGCACAAACGCACGCACCCACAATCACACGTGCAAGCACACACGCATGTGCACACGGACAGCGAGGGTTTGTTGGGCAGGCACGGACGGAGGTGGGGTTCCACGCGTACCTCTGCCGCCGAGACGAAGGACTCCCCGGACGACAGGCTCAGGGTGTCGAGCCCAAAGAGCCGCCCCGAGTGGTCTGCCAGGGACATGTCGCCCTCTGCGGGTGCCACCGAGGGTAGGGAAGGGTCAGAGGTCACCCGGTCATCAAGTCAAACCGTGAGGGCGGCGCGGTGAGTTTGCACGTGTGTGTGTGTTTGTATGTATGTATGTGTGCTGCTCTGTGTGCACGTGTTAGGGTTTGTGGGTTAGTGTTAGGGTTTGTGGGTGAGTATTAGGATTTGTGGGATAGTGTTAGGGTTTGTGGGTTAGAGTTTACGTGTTCAGGTCATGGTTTATGGGTTCATGTTTGGGTTAGTGACAGAGTTAAGGATATGAATGTTTCAAAATAATGTTTAATTTATCTATAGCGTCATCATTGTTCATTCAGATTGCATATCACAATCGCTGCGGAACCACGAAGCTGGAACACAGCAGCCAGGCTACGATGAGCCGGCACTACAAACAATTGCCCAAGCTCTGTGGTCCTCTATATATTTCAGGATATTCTCAGCCAATTGATGAGTGATTATAGGCGACAGGATTTAGGCTGACGCTCTTATGCAGGCTTGCATGTAAGAGTCGGATTTGGGTAGCCGTCAGGAGGGGGCGTCGTGTTGGCATGCAAGCACACACACGCACGCACGCAGAGATGTACGCAGAGACGCACGCAGACAAGCATGCAGAGACACACGCAGACACGCATGCAGAGACACACGCATGCAGAGACGCACGCAGACACGCATGCAGAGACACACGCACCGAGGTCGCGCGTCGGGGTCTGCGTGGCGGACGACATGGTGCACTCGAACTCCTCCTGCAGCCGGTACGCGCGCGTCAGCAGCGTCTCCAGCTTGTTTACAAACTCCCCGTCCATCACGTCCTGCCGGAAGAGAACACACAAAGACAAAGATCCCCGGTATAGCCTTAACAGACTGTTGGGGCAAGTGCTGTTAGTGAGCGCCTATGAAGGCCGGCACAGCACACAAGCGGGTGGGTGGCCAGCACCACACCCGGCCGCCTTAGTCTCCCCAGTGGCAATGTTTTTACACACCACGCCAAGTACTTATTTGAGTCTGAGCCAACCTAGGGGAGGCCCAAGACTGGTTCAGATAATCACCACTGGTTTTGGCCGTGAGCGGGAATGGAACTCGGGTCACCAGGTTCGCAGCGAGAACAAAGACAAAGATCCCCCATATAGCCTGTAACAGACTGTAGGGGCAAGTGCTGTTAGCGAGCACCTATGAAGGCCGGAACGGTACACGAGGGGGTGGGTGGCCAGCACCACGCCCGACCGCCTTTGTCTCCCTAGTGGCAATGTTTACACATCGCACCAGGTACTCATTTAAGGCTGAGTCGACCTAGGGGAGGCCCGGGACCGGTTCAGATAATCGTCACTGGTGTTGACCGTGAGCGGGAATCGAACTCGGGTCGCCAGGTTCATAGCGCAGCGCGCTAACCGCTACACTATCGCTCCCCACAGCGAGAACACACACACATACACACACACACGAACACACACACACAAACACACACACACGAACACACACACGAACACACACACAAACACACACACGAACACACACACACGAACACACACACGAACACACACACGAACACACACACGCACACACACACGAACACACACACGAACACACACACGAACACACACACAAACACACACACGAACACACACACGAACACACACACACGAACACACACACACGAACACACACACGAACACACACACGCACACACACACGAATACACACACACACGAACACACACACGAACACACACACGAACACACACACGAACACACACACGCACACACACACGAACACACACACGAACACACACACGAACACACACACGCACACACACACGAACACACACGAACACACACACGGACACACACACGAACACACACACGCACACACACACGAACACACACACGAACACACACACGAACACACACACGAACACACACACGTGTGCGCGCGTTGGTGCCGTTGCACCTCGGTGCTCTCCTCGGCGATGGCGTCTCCGGCGGCGACGCGGATCACCTCCGGGTCGGAGCACGGCTCCTCCACGGTCTCCCTGCGGTTGCGGCACAACAGCGCCTCCTCCCACCGCCGCAGAGCCTCCTCAAACAGCTCCATGCCTGGACGCCCGAAACGACAACGCCCGGCAACTCGGTCACGACTCCGCTCGTCCACCGAGGGGCGGCCCTGCGCGTGCGTGAGTGCGAGCGTCCGTGTCGGCGTGCGCTACCGCTCAGGTACAGGTTCTCCGGGGTGGTGTGGCTGCCCAAGGCCGGCGCTTCCCCCCCGCCGGCGGCCGGCTCCCAGGAGCTGCCGGCCGCCACGCACACCGAGCTGTGGCGAGAGCGCAGCTGGGAGGGCCGGCCGGCCGAGGCGCGCGAGTCACAGCCCCTGCCGGTGCTCTCCGCCTGCAGCTACACAAAGACAGAGATCCCCCCCGTGGAGCCTCAACAGATATGCGTGCGTGTGCACGTGTGCCCCCACGTTATCCGTGCAGTGTCGCGAGATGCGGTCGCAGTGAGGCACTCGGTAAATCCGAAGTGAATTCTGTAGATATGCTCTTTGTCGATTATCTCGGTTGGCTACGTACGGTGCGAAACAAGTTCAACATACATAAATACATGACCTGTTGTTATAACCATCGGGCAATCCTAAAAATCTGCGACGGGCGTCTGGTTGTCTATTAATAGTTTCCAGATTTCACACACAACTCGGATCAAACGTATTTAATGTAGCTGCCACAAAGTTTTGGAACTACTTAGTTTTGTCTCTTGGCATCTCCATTCTGCCATCTATGTCCTTATTTACACCGACTATTAAGTGTAAGTGTGAATGTAATTTTACAACCTAATTGCTATTACGATAAAGTTTTTTTTTTTATGTTTTGATGTTGTCTGCCGGCCGAGTCGCCCTTGAAAAAGAGTTTCTTAGCTCTCCGGGCTTCACTCGGTGGGAAACACACTCCCGTTGTTATTCCGGATTCCACTGCATCTCGTTTTCGATGGCGCCTCTCTCTCTCTCTCTCCGCGGCGACGCAGAGCGAGCGAATGAAGCGTCGCAAGCACGGTGGCAGCGGCGGTGGCGGCGGCGGCGGCGGCGGCGGCCCGTACCGAGGCAAGACTCTGTACCGAGGTCGACTGCTTCACTTCGCTCCCCGCGACGCTTCCTGCGCTGCTCGTCGTAGCGGCGGCGGCGTTGGCGGCGGCGTTGGCGGAGGAGGCTCCAGCCGGTCCCCTCGCGGGGGGCATGGCCCCTGCCGACCTGAGGCCGCTTGCTCGGCCTGCGCACAAACACACAACGTGCGGACGCAAGATCAAGCGGTAAACGTACGCGCGTGAGCTCGTGTGGCGGTGGGGGTGGCCAGCACCATGCTCTCCGTAGGTCACCTTTGTCTCCCCCCAGTGCCGAAGTTTTTACACACCGCACCAGGTACTCATTTGAGGCTGAGTCAACCTAGAGGAGGTCCAGGACCGGCTTAGATAATCATCACTGGTATTGGCAGTGAGTGGAGCAAAGCGTGCTAACCGCTACACTCCTTACACAACCCCACACTCACTCTCACCCGCCCAGGAGTCATGCGAACCAGCTCAAGGATTAAGCCCTTCAATAAACACTAAACAATGGAGCACTTGGGGGAGATTTTAATTATTTTACTGGTTAATAATTATTTTAAAGCCTGATTTATTGCGCAAGCAACTACAGTACAATGCTTTAACTTGGTGATGCTGCATTGGCAATACTGCACGAGCACAATTAACAAACAAAAAACTCAACAATTGTTCATAACATGGTGGCCTTCAATTGCAACATATAATAGGTGACGATTCGGGGATCGGCCCTTCTTCAGAGCAAAAACATAGCCCATTATAAGCTATGATCACAACGCATCATGTGCTATGAAGAAGCACCATTACCTGCAGCATCGCCTATTAATATATTTTTACTTTTAAGTCCACAGTGTTATTGACAAACATGTTGAGTTTGACACTTGACTCAAGATGACGGACACTCTAATCAACACGCTGGCAGAGAAAACATCGGTGGATGTCGGTGCTCACCAATGATTGACGCACATTTGCTCTCACCGTAAGTCGATGCCAAGCGGTTTCTGCCAAAAAAATCAGTTTTTAGCGAAACCTGATGGAATTCTATTTCCGCCACAAAGTTAAAGGGAAAACGCATTGCTGCCAAAAATGTGACTCGCGTCCCATGAGCCCATGCTCGGGAAGGAAGGAGGGGGAGCATGGGAAGGGGGATGGAGGAAGGGTGGGAGGGGGGAAGTGGGGGTCACCTTTCCGGGGGGCCGGCAGCCTGGCGATGGCCGCGAGGGGGTTAAGGGCGGCGTCGGCGATGGGGGAGTCGACGGCGCCCCCCTTCTTGCGACAACGCCGGCGACGCATGTGTCGCGCGGCCAGGTACAGCATCATGCTGCCCACCGCGCTGGCCACCAGCAGGCGCTTGAGGCCCGGGGTCAGACGCACCTGGTGGGGGCCGTGGGCGTGTTGACGGTGTGCGGAGGGACGCAGGGAGCACAAGGAGGGATGAAGGTCCCTGATATTAGCAGAGTACAGCGTCGGTGATCAAAATCACTTGCAGCTTAGTCCTGCACCGCGCACTCCCCGCCACAGTGGGAGCTTGGGCGTTCCATATTTAGCACGTGATTGTCAGTGGTCTTTACCTCTCATACACTTTGGGTTGTTAATAACAGCACCTCCACCCAAGAGCACCTTCCCAATCGCCTTGCCAATTAGCCATGTGAGTTGTTAGCTGCTTTCCATAAGGTCTTATGAAATCTGCTTTGACTTACTCTCTCATTTACCCGCCACCCATTTACTGATTTACTCAAAACCCAGACACTCTTGGACACGGTCCGGCAAAAGTTGAATACAAAAAGGCATCGGTCCAGCAGCCGTCTATTGCAACAGCGTGGAGAGCGGTCGCATCGCTTTGTGTTTAAACAGTCCTCAATCCAGGGAAAGAGATAGCACCAATAAACACAAAAACACAGCTCAAATATAGCAAAACGACTATCATGATTATTACAAGGTGAGGCGGCTGCGCTGTGGCTAGGGCACTGCGCTATGAAGCCGGCGACCAGAGTTCAATTACCGGCCTCGGCTAAACATCAGTGGCGAGTGATACCCAAACCGGCCATAGACCCTCTTCCCCGTCACCCTTCACCTGTTTGCCCACACCTGTGAGTAGGTGAGACCAGGAATCACCTATGAGTCGTACTAACCCGTGAGACCAGGACTCACCTGTGAGACCTGGTCTCACCCATGAGTAGGTGAGCCCAGGACTTAACTGTGAGTAGGTGAGCCCAGGACTCACCTGTGAGACCAGGTCTCACCTGTGAGTAGGTGAGACCAGGACTCACGGGTGAGACCAGGTCTCACCTGTGAGTAGGTGAAACCAGGTCTCACTAGTGAGTAGGCGAGACCAGGTCTCACCTGTGAGTGGGTGAAACCAGGTCTCACAAGTGAGTAGGTGAGACCAGGACTCACCCGTGAGACCAGGTCTCACCTGTGAGTAGGTGAAACCAGGTTCTCACCTGTGAGTAGGTGAGCCCAGGTCTCACCTGTGAGTAGGTGAGTCCAGGACTCACCCGTGAGACCAGGTTTCACCTGTGAGTCCTGGGCTCACCTGTGAGTAGGTAAGACCAGGCCTCACCTGTGAGTAAGTGCGACCAGGTGAGACAAGGACTCACCTGCGAGTCGCCCTCACCTGCGAGTAGGTGAGACCTGGTCTCACCTGCGAGTAGGTGAGACCAGGTGAGACCAGGACTCACCTGCGAGTCGCCCTCACCTGCGAGTTGGTGAGACCTGGTCTCACCTGTGAGTAGGTGCGACTAGGTGAGACAAGGTGAGCCCAGGTCTCATCTGTGAGTAGGTGAGCCCAGGTCTCACCTGTGAGTAGGTGAGACCAGGACTCACCTGTGAGACCAGGGCTCACCTGTGAGACCTGGTCTCACCTGTGAGTAGGTGAGACTAGGTCTCACCTGTGAGTAAGTGCGACCAGGTGAGACCAGGACTCACCTGCGAGTCACCCTCACCTGCGAGTAGGTGAGCCCTTGGCTCACCTGCGAGTAGGTGAGACCAGGTGATCAGGGACTCACCTGCGAGTCGCCCTCACCTGTGAGTAGGTGAGACTAGGTGAGACCAGGTGAGCCCAGGACTCACCTGTGAGTAGGTGCGACTAGGTGAGACCAGGACTCACCTGCGAGTCGCCCTCACCTGTGAGTAGGTGCGACCAGGTGAGACCAGGTGAGACCAGGACTCACCTGTGAGTAGATGACCCTAGGTGAGACCAGGTGAGACCAGGACTCACCTGTGAGTAGGTGAGACTAGGTGAGACCAGGTGAGACCAGGACTCACCTGTTGTGAGTAGGTGAGACTAGGTGAGCCCAGGTGAGACCAGGACTCACCTGTGAGTAGGTGAGACTAGGTGAGACCAGGACTCACCTGTGAGTAGGTGAGACTAGGTGAGACCAGGACTCACCTGTGAGTAGGTGAGACTAGGTGAGACGAGGTGAGACCAGGACTCACCTGTGAGTAGGTGAGACTAGGTGAGACGAGGTGAGACCAGGACTCACCTGTGAGTAGGTGAGACTAGGTGAGACCAGGTGAGACCAGGACTCACCTGTGAGTAGGTGAGACTAGGTGAGACCAGGTGAGACCAGGACTCACCTGTTGTGAGTAGGTGAGACTAGGTGAGACCAGGTGAGACCAGGACTCACCTGTGAGTAGGTGCGACTAGGTGAGACCAGGTGAGACCAGGACTCACCTGTTGTGAGTAGGTGATACTAGGTGAGACCAGGTGAGACCAGGACTCACCTGTGAGTAGGTGAGACTAGGTGAGACCAGGTGAGACCAGGACTCACCTGTTGTGAGTAGGTGAGTCTAGGTGAGACCAGGTGAGACCAGGACTCACCTGTGAGTAGGTGAGACTAGGTGAGACCAGGTGAGACCAGGACTCACCTGTGAGTAGGTGCGACTAGGTGAGACCAGGACTCACCTGTTGTGAGTAGGTGAGACTAGGTGAGACCAGGTGAGACCAGGACTCACCTGTGAGTAGGTGAGACTAGGTGAGACCAGGTGAGACCAGGACTCACCTGTGAGTAGGTTGCGTGCAGGAACAGCGGCAGTTCGGCCACCGTGAGCACGACGGCTCGCAGCACGGACGCGCTGTGCAGCGTCGACTCGGCCATGGTGACGACGAAGTTGACGAGGTTGACGAGGTTGACGAAGTTGACGAGGTTGACGAAGTTGACGAGGTTGACGAGGTTGACGATGACGCGCAGCCTCACAGGAGAGACGACATGATGGTGATGATGTCAGGACCTGGCATCGGGCCCCTGGGAGATGATACCAAGCCTGAACACACACGAACACACACACACACGAACACACACACACACGAACACACACACACACACGAACACACACACACACGAACACACACACACACGAACACACACACACACACACGAACACACACACACGAACACACACACGAACACACACACACGAACACACACACACACGAACACACACACACCCGAACACACACACACACACGAACACACACACGAACACAGACACACACGAACACACACACACACGAACACACACACACACGAACACACACACGAATACACACACACGAACACACACACACGAACACACACACACGAACACACACACACGAACACACACAAACACACACACACGAACACACACACACGAACACACACACACGAACACACACACACACGAACACCCACACACACAAACACACATACACACACACGAACACACATGAAACACACACACACGAACACACACACACACACACGAACACACACACATACGAACACACACACATGAAACACACACACACGAACACACACACAAGAACACACACACACGAACACACACACGCGAACACACACACACGAACACACACACACACAAACACACAAGAACACACACACACGAACACACAAGAACACACACACACGAACACACACACACGAACACGAGAACACACACACGAACACACACTTAGCGTTCTCGAGTGTCGAGGCGAGGCGACTAAACGACGGCGAAAGGAGCTTCAGTGGATCGAAGGGCACAGGATCACCACACTGCTGCGAACCTGGCGACCTCTGAGTTCGACTCCTGGCCACGGCTAACGTCAGTGGTTGGCGATATCCGAACTGGTTGTTGGGACCTCCACCCCCACCATCACCGACTCTCACTCACCAGTGTGGTGAGATGTGGCCACAAAGCTGCTCGGATCAACACGCCATCGAAAGCACTCAAACAGCAGTGGACTTACAAAGGGCATGTCAATTACACTTCGGCTTGCACGGACATACAGTATATGAGGAGGTGCAGTGACCAGCAGCATTGTGCATTCACTGTGATCTCCTTCTCGTCTCTCTGGTTCTGTCTCCGTGTGTCCGTCTCCTTGATCTCATTCTGTCTCTCTCCCCCGGTCTATCTGTGTCCCCTGTCTCAGTGTGTGTGTGTCTCCTCACCTCTCCGTCTTCCCTACAGTGTCTGTCTCCACGTGCGCGCCTGCGTCTCTCTCCCCCCGCGTCTCTGTGTCCCTGCCTAATGCCAGCGTCTCTCTCTCGCTGATCACTCACCGCCTGTCTCTCCCACGTCTGTCTTCGCGTCCCTCTCTCTTGTGGAACTGTCCCCGTGTCTCCCTCTCTCTCTGTGTGTGTCTCCACGACCCTCAGTCCTCTGTCTCCGTGACCCCGTCACCTGTCTCTGTGTGGACCCGTGGCCCCGCGACCTCCGTCCTTCTCTCTCACCCCGGACAAGGTCGGGTCGAGCCGGGGCGGGCGGCAGCGGTCAGGGCCCCGCGCTGAACCGTCTCCCGCTGCAGCAGCAGCAGCAGCGGGAGCAGCATCGGCACTGACAAGGGAAGCAGCAGGAGACGCGAGGGGAGAGACGGAGCAGAGCAGGCGAGGCGATGCAGGGGCAGCTTCGTGGGGATGACGGTGGCGGAGGCGGCGACGTCATCGTGAAGTCCTGACGGCCATCCTTGGCAGGGAGAGATCGTGCGGCCATCTTGGGTAGGTATAGATATCGTGCAGCCATCTTGGGTAGGTATAGATATCGTGCGGCCATCTCGGGTAGGGATAGATATTGTGCAGTCATCTTGGGTTGGGATATATATCGTGCGGTCATCTCGGGTAGGGATAGATATCGTGCGGCCATCTTGGGCAGGAATAGATAATCGAGCGGCCATCTTGGGCAGGAATAGATATCGTGCGGCCATCTTGGGCAGGGATAGATAATCGAGCAGCCATCTTGGGCAGGGATAGATATCGTGTGGCCATCTTGGGCAGGGAGAGATATCTTGCGGCTATCTTGGGCAGGGATATACATCGTGCGGCCATCTTGGGCAGGGATAGATATCGTGCGGCCATCTTGGACAGGGATAGATATCGTGCGGCAATCTTGGGCAAGGATAGATATGGTGCGGCCATCTTGGGTAGGTATAGATATCGTGCAGCAATATTTGGTAGAGATAGATATCGTGCAGTCATCTCGGGTAGGGATAGATATCGTGCGGCCATCTCGGGTAGGGATAGATACCGTGCGGCCATCTCGGGTAGGGATAAATATCGTGCGGCCATCTTGGGTAGGGAGATCTGGTGGCCATCTTAGATAGGGAGATATTGGGAGACGCATGTGTCATTGTGAAATTGTATAATTATATGTTAATTATGTTTATACTAGACTTTTGCCCGTCCAAGGACGGGTTTATTGCAGTAAATCTGAAACTTGCACGCGAAAAGCAGATCGCGACGTGATATTCATTGCATCAATGCGTGTGCAATTTGTAAGGGCGCGGTGACACAGACCTATTATTTCATTTTAAGGTTATAATCCCTTGTTCATCACGACGTCCTTTTTACTTTGATGTCTCAACAGCGTTACAGAGATCACGTGACGTGAGGGTTCTGCCTTTGCAGTGAGGGTTGTGAGTTGACGCTGAGGACGGGGGAGGAGGCGCCTCGCCCCCCCACGTGGAGTGACGTCACCTGCTCATGATTGAGGGAGGAGGGTGCTCCATGTGGAGTGACGTCACCTACTCATGATTATTAATGAGGGGGGGGGTCCATGTGGAGGACGTCACCTGTTAATGATTACTCATTGTTTTTTTCGGTAAAGTCACGTATGTAGAAATACAATAAAATTATATTAAAATAAATCACGACGTTTCGACCGCAACACAAGCGATCATCATCAGGTGTAAAATTATTAAAGAGGGGGGGCTGGTCGACGTGGAGTGACGTCACGAGCGTTACACACAGACATTAATGGTTCATTATCGTAGACAATAATGGGGGGGGGGGGGGGGGGGGTGTCCATTTGGAGGACGTCATCTGCTCATGAATATTAATGAGCGTTAGGGACAGACATTCCTGGGTGATTATAGTATGTATGCCCGTCTAATTGCTGGTCATACTGAAAAAATATTTAATTAAATGAAAATCAGGCCCCATGGTGTAAAAAGTGCAGTCTTCAACTCTTATTATCCATTCTTATCCACGATTATTTCGCGATCAGACCCAAAAAAATAAATTCTGAATCGAGTGAGATAGGAGTTTTGTATCCGCACAGACGGGTTCACGAACACCCACGTGGGTTGTGCTGCCACCTCTTGGTCACCTCGCAAACCCTGTTGATCTGACGATGATTCATCACTCCTCCATGATATTCGCAAGTGCATTATCCCATTGCGATTGTGGACGTAGCTTCTATTGGACAACAGCGTTATCATCAGCAGCAGCCATGGTCAATCCACTGTTGGATGAAAGCCTCCCAAACCCATGCACTGCCACCTCGCAAGATCCTGCGATGTAACAATCTACCCAGCGCCTAGCTCCGCACGGGAACTCTCTTTTGTCATCGCTCCATCTCCCCGGGGCACGTCCCAGCCCTCTGGACGCGTTCCATTCCTTGGCTGCTATTCCGTCACCGACCTTAAACATCGAGTGGTGAGCCCCCTATGGAATCTAAAACGAATTGAAACATATTCTTGGTTCTTTCGGTAAAGTTTCGGTAAAATGTTATTGTTTTTTTATTATTTCCCTTCTACGTGACTTTACCGAAAGAACCAAAGAATATGAATCCCTGCAGTCAGGAAAACTTTAAATCGAATTGAAACATAACATTGATTTGCGCATCAAGAGCAAACGCAGCACTCAATCGCATTCATCGATTGATAGACATACAGTCGCAGACATTAAGTTCCCATACACGTATCGACGGTTAATCGTTAATACTGCACAAGTCAAATAAAGTAGGTCAGGGCGTTTTAAGTCAAAATTTAGGTCAGAGCGATAGGGGGAACACAAATCACAAAACCGGAACCAATTTGCGGCCGCCAAAATGTTTCCCCCCTACCCCGCCGGAGCCGATTCCGTTTCCGTTTCGGAAGTGGCGCGCGCTGCAGTGCGGACATTTCCGTTGCGCAGAGGAAGACTCCGCAGACTCAGCGGCACTCACAGCAACATCATCAGCATCATCAGCAGTCAGTACTAACATCATCATCAGCAGCAGCAACATCATTAGCAGCAGCAACATCAGCAGCAACATCATCAGCAGCAACATCATCATCAGCAGTCAGTACTAACAGCAGCAGCAACATCATCAGAAGCAACATCAGCAGTCAGTACTAACATCATCAGCAGCAGCAACATCATCAGCAGCAACATCAGCAACAACATCATCAGAAGCAACATCAGCAGCAGTCAGTACTAACATCAGCAGCAGCAACATCATCAGCAAAAATATCATCAGCAGCAGCAACATCTTCAGCAGCAACAACATCAGCAGCAACAACAACATCAGCAGCAGTCAGTACTAACAACAGCAACATCCTCATCTTCCTCTTCAGCGTCAGTACTAACAGCAGTATCAGCAACATCAGCAGCAGTCAATAACTAACAGCAGCAACATCATCATCCTCCTCAGCAGTTAGTACTAACAGCAGCAACATCATCAGCAGCAGTCAATACTAACAACATCATCAGCAGTATCAGCAACATCAGCAACAGCAGCAGTCAATACTAACAGCAGCAACATCATCAGCAGCAGTCAATGCTAACAGCAGCAACATCATCAGCAGCAACATCAACAAAATCATCAGCATCAGTCAGTACTAACAGCAATATCAGCAACATCATCAGCAGCAACATCCTCATCCACCACTTCAGCAGTCAGTACTAACAGCAGTAACAGCAACATCATCAGCAGCAACATCCTCATCCACCACTTCAGCAGTAAGTACTAATAGCAGTATCAGCAACATCATCATCCTCATCAGCAGCATCAAAATTATCCTCAGCAGTCAGTACTAACAGCAGTATCAGCAACATCACTATTATCAGCAACATCACTATCATCAGCACCAACAGCATCAGCAACATCATTCGCAGCACGAACAGAATAAGCAACACCATCCGCACTAACATCCTCATCACCATTAACAACTACCTCAGCAACAGTCAGTCAGTCAGTGCTAACAGCAGTATCACCAACATCACTTTATCAGCACCAACAGCATCAGCAATATCATTCGCAGCACGAACATAATAAGCAACATCATCAGCACTAACACCATCAGCACTAACAGCAGCAGCATCAGCACTAACAGCATCATCACCAGGAACATCAGCATCATCAGCAACATCAATGATAGCGTTATCACTATCGTCAAAAACATCATCAAACATCAACAACGTCATGCAACAACATTACTAACATCAGCAGCAGCATCGCCGTCGTTAAAAACATTAGCATCGCTGATCAGCATCATAAACAGCATCATTGGCATCACTAACATAAGCAGACGCATTATCTTCGCAAACATCACCATCAAAAACCTCGTCCTCTACTGATTCTCAACCTCATCTTTCTCATCGTCTGGTCTGATCTACTCTTCATTCTAATTCCACTCGACCTCTGTTCACCTCGTTTTATTTTCGCCATCACCATCATCAACTTCCCTCCTCCCCACTTCCTCCTGTCCTCCCTGACCACCTCATTCTCTCCGCCTCTCCATCGCCTCCCCCAAGCAGCAGCAGCACCACCTCCTCCTTCCTCCTCTGGCGCCTCTCCGCCATCACCGCCTCATCAGGCCTGGCCGCGTCATTGTGAGGAGGTGAGCCCTCTTCACCCGGGCAGCATATCATTGTCACGTCTGTTCTATAACAATGATGTTGTGTTGCGAGTGTTGTTGTTTGGTTGTTGTTTTTGTTGATACCGAGAGCCATGCGAGCGGTTGTTGACGCGCCAGGGTTCGTGGCGTAGCCAGCCAGGAAGCGGGCACCGCGATTCGCATTGAAACGAAACGAGCATTGGCTTAGCCCTATCCCAAACACTAGCCATGCCAACACTAGCCATAGCACTAGACATATCACAAACCATAGCACTAACACCAGCAATAACAACTCACCGTGGCACTAACACTTGCCTTAGTAGTAGCCCTATCGCTAACCCCCAGCCGTAGCACTAACGATAGCCCTTGCTCCTAAAACAACAAGCACTCTTCCTAAAACTAAGATTGGCACTAAAACTATTACCGGCCATTAACGATAGCCATTGCACCAGCCATAGTTTTAGCACCGGCTACACAACATTCAGCACCCACATTGCCGTGACTACAGCTTCACGAACCGTCGCTGCACGCATGATCATGATGATAAGGCAAATGTCACTGCAGGGGTCTCAGTACTGCTTAATTAACCGTGGCGTGGAAGTTGTGTATATTCATGGTGTGCGGCTGGGCTAACTGTCCTGTATGTGTGCGTGCTGTGGGGTCAGGTTAACTGCCGTGTGGTGTTTGTGATGCGGCTAGCAGGGCCGTGTGGCCGACGGTATGGGCAGCTCTGAGGCGGAGTGTGTGCACCTCGGCAGCGTTGGGGAGGTTACGAAGGAGCAGCTCATCCAGAAGTCCAAGGTGGCTCAAAAAAGCATGTCTCCGCACTCCTCGTGTATACGCAACATGGCACTCGCACCAATCCCAGCTCTTACTCTCGGAATAACCAAAGCCTCAACACTAACACTTACCCTATTCATAGTTTCTAACCGTAGCTCTGACACCCTTATTCACAGCAATGATCACATCCCGCTGTGCGATGGCAGTTGCCGATCTCAAACACCGAACCGCAGAGTAACACCGTTGCCTGCCAAGCTCATTCACTGGGAACTTTTCAGATATTCACCAGGCTCCTCCTGAAGGCACCCAACGGCTCAAGATGTATCAAGTTATAATCTCTGCCGATGAACATACAGAAGGCTATAAGCTTGAATACTAACTCTAGCCTTGACACTCGCCCTGGTCGTGGAGCTAAACACTGGCCCCACTGTGTTACAGGGAACCTGCCAGTCTTGCGCAGCGACTGGCCCCAACCTCTGGGCCTGCCTGCAGGTGAACACCATTCACGTGCACACACACACACACGTGCACGCGCGTCTGCATTACTCATCCAAGCTTAACAGAAATGTTACAACTCGAGCCATCTACCGTGTGTGGACCTTGCGATTGCACGCGCGTCACCAGCACTGGCGTTGATCGCGATGGTTAAAGGTGTTTGATGCCTCCCACCTGACCATGACACCCCCGCGTGTCTGTGTGCATCTGTTCATCTCACCGGAAAGGATGGCTGCACGTACGTGGGATGTGGAGAATCGTTCACTGACCACAGCACCCTGCATGCGCAGGTACGCATGGGAGTGCCCGTGCTGTGTGCACGAGCATGAGAGGGAGGGTTTGTTGGGAGGTCACAGGACACCACTACATTAGTGGCCTCAAACTGCTGCACCTTGCCTGGCACAAGAGCGATGTTGACATCACTGTTGCTCTTGATGTATCGGGAGTGGCTACAAAATGGTCAACACACCGTGCTGCGAATCTGCCGACCTCCGTTAGTTTCCCGGCCGTGGCTAACATCGGTAGTAAGTGGTAGCGTAACTCGTCCACCTCCCCTAAAGTTGCATCAACCTTAAGCGAGTGTCTGGTAAGGTGTGTACATCAGCACTGGGAAGACCAGTGCAACTGATCACGGTACTAGCAACACTACTCCGTTGCGTACCGTGCCAGCCTTCATAGGTGCTTGCTAACAGCACTTAACCCAATAGTCTACGAGGCTAAACAAAGAATCTCTGAAGGCATAGACTCGCACCAAGGGGAACTGAAAATGTAGTCATGGGTGGAGTGACAGCCTTGTTTGTGTACGCTGCAAACGATGGTGCTGGGAAATGACTGGTGGTGCTGAGGCGCCCACCATTTTATTCATAATCACGAGGTGCATTCAGATAAATGCAGTGGCGATGTGCATCAGGTGTATATGTTGGCTGTGGTTATGATGATGATGATGCGTCAATCCAGCATGCACGTGAGTTATGTGGTCTCAACAGTTTGCGTGTGTCAGTTGTAGGTGATGCATCGGCTGTCACTGCAATAGGCAGCCGAGATCAATTATCATTAATTTGTAATTTTAAATTCTGTTTTTGGAGCATCACTATCTTGAGTTGCAGTGATATATTATTATTATTTATCCAACAATATACAGTCACACTCGGTCTGAAGACTTATTATTTAAGTTTTGCTACATTGGGGGTTCCACTAAAACCGATTATATTATGTGTTTTTAGCTATAGTAAGAAACCGGAAATCCCGGTGGAAGTCCATGCAGAATAGGGAGAGAACATACAAACTTGCACACTCAAAGGTGCCCAATTGGTGAATTAAACCCAGTTCCTTGTTTCTGTGAAGCCCAAGTGTTACCGCTGTGCCACCCAGAAGCCAACAGCGCCTTATGGGTGGTAGTGACCCCTTCCACGTGCCGTGAGTCACTTCGGAGACACTAATAGTAGGAGGCATACACGTTTTTTCTACACTTTCCACAGTGTAGGGGATAACTATATACGGGTCAGGACAGCCGGCACACTGCCTGACCCAACACTGACGAGGAGGACGAAGACTTCGTGGACGATGGCTCCATTCCCAAACCGCAGCAGCCTCGAACCAGCGTCAGGGCCTCCTTTTTATCCTCCCCAGCATGGCCTGGCTCCGCCCTCGGCCACGCCCCCTTCTAGAACCTACCAGAAGGTTCTGGGCTGTGACCCACGTGTCCCCTCTGTGACCTTTACCCTACATCCGTGCCTGTCACGTGCCCTACTGTCAGACCGGCCACTGTATCCTCAAATGCCCTTCACTGTCAGCAACCAGCGCTACGCGCTCCAGTGGCACACTTCACCTGCCCTGCTGGTAGACCGGGCTACTACACCCACAATCCCATTCTCTACCAGTAACCAGCACTACGCGTCCTAGTGACCCATTCTGTGTCACTACACAAGCACTATCCAGGCTCAAACCCGCTTAACTTGCCGCTACCGCTGCGCGTACTCCGGGGAGGTTTCAACCGTTCGTGGCGCAGCCCTAACCTGGTGCCGACCGCTCATTGCGCCGCGTGCGCGCGTTGTGTGTGCGTGTGCCCAGACGAGCAAGCACAGCCTGACAGTGAACCTCACAACGCTGCGGGTGTGGTGCTACGTGTGCGAGCGGGAGGTGTTCCTCGACAAGCAGGCGGCGGTGGCGGCGGGCGACACCGCGCCCTGCAAGCCCCCGCCGGCCGCCGCGCAGTCCATGCCGGTACGATCGCATTCGCGCTCGCACGCGTGTGTGTGTGTGTGTACGCGCGTTCATGTGTGTGTGCGCGTGCATGTGTGTGTGTGCTCGTGTTCATGTGTGTGTGCTCGTGTTCATGTGTGTGTGCGCGTGCATGTGTGTGTGTGCTCGCTTTTGTGTGTGCGCGCGCGCTCTCTTGTGTGTGTGTCTGCTCTCTCTTGTGTGTGCATGCTCGCTCGTGTGTGTGTGTGTGTGTGCTCACTCGTGTGTGCGTGCTCACGCATGTGTGTGTGTGTGCTCGTGTGTGTGTGTGCGTGCTCGTGTGTGTGTGCGTGTGTGTGTTCGTGTGTGTGCTCGCTCGTGTGTGTATGCACGCGCTCGTGTGTGTGCCCTCTGTGTGTGTGCCCTCGTGTGTGTGTGCGCGCGCACTTCTGCTTCCCCGTCCATGCTCACGTGGGACGCTCCAGATAAAGTGTTTGGGGCTTTGAGATTAATTCACCCTCCAAATATGACACTGAGTAGGATGCGTTTGCGTTTTCAAGCGCTGTAAAATGCAACCAATCGTACATGCAGATGTTAATTAGTCTACGCCTGCTATGCGTATATATTTAACTCTTTTGTCAATCCACTGCTGGATGAGGGACCTCCCACTGCGCCGTGTAGGCCGTGGGGGTTATTTGACCATCCTTCACCACGCCGGTCAGTACGGGTGGGTGAAGGCTCGGAGCATAGATGGGCCGGCATGGCAGTGCAGTACAACATTATAATTTTCTGCACCGCTGTCTGCTGTGAACTCCATAGCACCTACGTGTGCATGCAGTTCAGGTTTTGGGTCGATGAGTAATTCACCCTCCACATTTGACCCGATGCGAGTGAAATGTATTTCCATTTGGTAATATGCAACGTTTCCCTGAAGTCGCGAGTCACTGGGGTAAATACCGTTCACCCGGCAACGCTAACTTATGAGGTGTACATCCGCCTGAGCCTTAAACTGTTTATCGCAGTTTTACTTTGAACTGCTGTAAAAAAACACCAGAGTGCTGCGGTACATAAAACGTAGTCCGACAAACCTTACGTACCCGAGAGTTTCATAAATTACAGGTTTTGTATTATGATTGGTACACTTGTTTAGCCAGGAAAGCCTCACTGAGTCTCAACACTCCCTTTCAGGAAGGTCCTGCCCAGTTCTCACCGAGTGGGGTGCGATGTTGCCGTGTGTTATCGCGATTTAATGTTTTGCCGGTAATGCGTTTATTAGCATTTTGACTGTTTTGGCCAGTACCGTTCATGTCGTGTGTGTCTGTGCACTTGCGGTAGTTTCATTGAAGGAGCGCATGTTGCCACGGTTGCCCTTGATGTCGGTCGTCAGCCGTGGCCTCGTGAAATTAAAAGCAAAAAGATAAAAGGTGCAGTGCGGGGTCGATGAATAATGGAACGAGCGACTGTTGACACCGCCTGCCGCCGCAACGCAAACTAAGTGGCGCGGCTCTTCGCCTGCATATAGGCCGATTGCATGCGAAGCGTAATAGATGTTTAAACGTGCGCGATTCTTTTGTTTAAACTATTGCGTTAGCAGTTATGCGGAGACGTCTTCGGAAAATATACTGCCCGCGTCGGCGTTTACAGTTGTGCTGTGCACGGCTCTTCCGATGCTGTCTCATGCCGAGCGATGTGCGGTACGACCCGGAAACGCATTTGGCAACGTTCAGAAATTCTCCCTCTCATGGAAGAAGGTCTTGAGTAAAGACCGTTTTATCCACGCGCATGTTGGCAGCAGTAGCAGCAGCAGCAGCAATATGTTCAGTCGAGGTCTGCTGCTGAGAGATAATTCTTGTAGTTTTGCCATTTCCCCCTCTGTTACAGAGTACAGACCACAGTGGTTTATCTTTTTGGTCCATATTTTGAGTTGTATGGCCACCAATCTGCGCCTTGTCGTTGATTATTATATTCATGAAGGAGGTGTGCGCATCGGCCTGTTGATGTTCTTATGTGGTTGATGGTTACACCAGCATCTTCGAGGAGTATTGTCAACTCCAGGAGATGTGATGTTTGGGTCTTGAATGAGGCATGTATTCTGGACTTCAACATCGGAACAATCGGCATTTCAACAAATTAATACATTCACGTCGCAAGGGATTTCTGCGCAATCACTCAAAAGCGTCGTCATTCAATCGTGAGTAGCAGTGGATGGCGACCTGGAGCAACGGCAGCTTTCCTAACGAGAGCGTTTGATCGTTAACCCCACACAAGATGGTCACGGTTTTCCCCGGTCATTATTGGACCGCATCGGCACATCGCAGGCACGTTTAGCCCTTCTCTCCAATACTGATGGGCAATTAATAATTAGCTCGTAGTGCGACTGCGAGCCACAAACCTCATATCACGGCCCACATGGTAACGCCACTCCCCCCGCGTCCATCAAGTCTATGAGTCTCTATGCAAGTCTACGGGTGAATGTCAATCTGTGGGTTTCTATGTGTATGGCTCTCCATGTTGGTCTACATCTTAAACCATGGACCTCATAGTAACGCCACTGCCCGCTTCAATCACTCGCTGGCAGAGTTTCACATAATCACCAAGCTACTCCTGGAACCGTCCACTGGCTCGCTCACCAAACTTCAAATAGACATTTAAACGTTGCCAATCAACTGTCTGCAATATTAAAGAAGAACAACATTTTGCGCGCTGCCCTATTAACACGGCAACCTGAGTTCGACTCCCGGCCATGCCTAACATGAGTGGTGAGTGATATCTTAGCTGGTCCCGGGCACTCACCTTCACCAACCAGCAGGTGTTTACCCAGGAAAGCCTCACTGATGAGTCTCAAGCCTATTTTTCAGGAGGGTGCTGCCAAGTTTTCACAGGAGGGAGGGTGGGTGACATTGCTGCTGCTGCTGTGTAATTTGCAGGTTATTTTTCAGCATTGGTGTGTGTGTGCTCACACTAATGGCACTTGCCCAAAAAGTCTGTAAAAGTTATACGGGAGGTCTTTGTCTTGTGGACTATCACTCACCAGGACGGTGGCATCCGAGGAGCCTCGCCCATCAAGACCATCCCTGGGACATCCGGCGAGGAGGGAGAGTCCGAGGTCGACGATGACGACCTTCGACCCCGAGGTCAGGGCCGTTGTGGAAAGGTCACCAATTATCGTGACGATGGCTGTGATGATGATAATGATTTTAACGTCAATTCAAATCGATTCTTGGGCTTGCGATGCGCTCGCTTGCCTCGTGGAACGCACCCAGAGGCAGGGAAGCGTTGCGCCAGCGGAGACGAGAGTTTTAGTGAGCCACGGCGATCTTTTCCTTACAGGCCTCACCGGTCTGAAGAACATTGGGAACACGTGCTACATGAATGCCGCCCTACAGGCGCTGTCTAACTGGTGAGTGGCCCTCCAAACTCGGCGTGCGGGGCGTTGATCTCGCACACTTTAGCTTGTGCGGGGTGTCGGCGGCGTGGACCTGCGTTGCGGTGCTTCAGATGAAAGGGTGACAGGGAGCGACGGCCATAGTCAGAGGAAGTAAACTGGGTGTGGTGTGTTGGGTGTCAAAATATCGTGCAGGTCGCTGACCTGGATAGACCGAACCAAGATTAATCATGAGGCATGAATAACATCATGTACCTGCAAAAATGCAGTGTTGTGTGCGTGCGTACATGTGTGTGCACGCGTGTATGTGTCTCTGCTTGCGTGTTTGTCCTTGTTTGTGTGTCCATGCGTGTGTTTTTGTGTCCGTGTGTCTGTTTCTGGGGAGCGGTCGTGTAGCGGTTAGTGCGTTGCACTACGAACCCGGTGACCCGAGTTCGATTCCCGCTCATGACCAACACCCCTCGGTTAACTCATCCTCAAATGAGTACCTGGTGTGGTGTGTAAAAATCACCACTGGGGAGACAAAGGCGGCCGGGCATAGTGTTGGCCACCCACCCCCTCGTGTGCCATGCCAGCCTTCATAGGTGCTCGCTAACAGCACTTGCCCCAACAGTCTGTTCAGGCTATACGGGGGATCTTTGTGTGTTTCTGTGTCCGTGTGTGTGTTTCTGTGTCTGTGTGTCTGTGTGTGTGTGACATGAGTAGCCCTCCGCTCACCCAGTTCTTCCTCGAGTGCGGAGGGCTGGTGCGAACCGACAAGAAGCCGGCGCTCTGCAAGAGCTACCACAAGCTCGTCTCCGACATCTGGAACAAGAAGAGGTGAGAGCGGGAGGGAGCGTGCGTCAGGGTCGGGATCACAAGGTGGTGCGCTCCCCCCTGCAAAGGTTTCAAATGGAAATGTCATTGTCTAGTGAAGTGACGCCATTGGAACGATGAGAATGCAATCTAGAGAAAACAAGATGAGTGGCTGCCGTGCTCTTTCATGGAGGAGGAGCAGCGGATGGATCATGACCGATGATAATGATCTATTTCGCGGGACGTCATGTCGTGTGTGTTGTATCAACCGCAGGCACGGCTACCTGGTTCCCACGACCCTGGCTCATGGAATCAAACTCATCAACCCCATGTTCCGGGGCTACGCACAGCAGGTACGTGTGGCTACCTATAGAACTGTACGCGAGGGTCAGTGGTGGTGCTGGCAGGGTGGCGATGGTGACCCGGCAGTTATGGTGGTGACGGTGGACTGGTCATGGTGCGGTGGGTGATGATGAGACCGTGGCGGTGCGGTGTTGACATGACGGGAGTGATGATTGTAACACATCGATAGGGGCGATAGCTTGGTGATTGTGAGACTGCGTTGGTGGGGTAGCGATGTTTGGGGTGGTTTGGTGGGAGAATGATTCTGTGATTTTGGAACCCTGATGGCGTTGGTGAGATGGCGATGGTGACGTTGAGTAGGACATAGCTTTGTGATGGTGAGACTGTTGGGCATTAGTGGTGATACTATTGCGATGGGTTGGTGATAGAATGATGCAGTGGTTGCGGCATTGCTGATCTTGCTGCTGCAGTGGTGGTGGTGGTGGTGGAGCGATGAGCGCGATCCTGTTTTGATGGGGCATCGATAGAGCTCGTGTGTTGGTGATACAATGGTGGTGGCGATTACGTAATGCCATTTCTGTGTGCAGTGACAGTAACGGTAGCGGCTGGCCAGCAATGGTGGTTCGGTGACCATTGCCGGTTTATGGCAAACTGCGGTTCCAGTGCAGTTCAGAATATTTATTTATACTGGAGGAATCCGACGAGCTTTAAAGCTCTTCCATGGCGGTTGCCTCCTCGCAGGACGCCCAGGAGTTCCTGCGCTGCCTTATGGACCAGCTGCACGAGGAGCTCAAGGAGGCCGAGCCGGACGATGCCCCTGCGCCGGGGCCCGCAATGGAGCAGCTGGCACCGTGCGAGCAGCACCGCACCCACTCCGACGACGAGCTTGTGTCCTGCGACTCGGGCATCAGCAGCGAGGTGAGGGGGGGGCGCCCCCCACGATCTGGGGTACGTGTGTATGTGTTTGCGCGCGTGTTTGTGTGTTAAACCAGACATTGTTGTTCGTGGCCAGATAGAGGGGGCTAAATGTATGTACAGTATGTTGAACTTCGTTCACACCGTACGTAGCCAACCATGCTAATCGGAGGTGTGGGGGAAGGACAACAAACTAATCAAAAAATCAGTTAGAAAGAAATTGGTTTTCAATCTCGATTTAAAAGTGCATAGTTTTAGTCGCTTCCTAATATCAAACGGAAGAAAATGGGCGTTGCGTGGGCTAGGGAGGAGATGGACTGATGCGGTACAGGAGGATGTGGAGCTGAGGGGACTTCCCGATGACCGCTATCAGCGGTCTCAAGATCGGCCTCTATGGAGGAGGTTCGTGCAGGACGCTGTTGTACAGTTGGTGGCAGTCGCCCTCCAGCAACAGCTGAGAGTCGGTCCACTCATGGCACATGGGCCTGTCCCGTGGCCTCCTGCTGACAGCAAGCCGTGCACGCTTTTTGTTGCTGCGTCAAAGTGTACAGCTAGCCTGGCACAAGCGCCGTAGTGACGTCACCGCCACTTAGTGGTGAATAGCGGTTGTTAATGTGGTGAGGCAGTGATGATGACGACACGTCTGTGTTGTTGGCACGTTAGTGGGCCGGGCAGTGTGTTGACAGTGATGTAATTTATGCCGCACTGAACTGTTGGTCGCATGTGAATTACTCACTCTGTGGGCGTGTTGCACACATGGACGAGTCCACCCCTGCTCATGAAGCCACTAAGCTCACCATCAACATCGTAGGGCCCTCAAGCCCCCCCATTGATTTTTTAAGATGAAGCAGACGTCCGTCACCGACCTGATAGAGAGATCACGGTCGCCCTTAGCGATCCTGGGTCCACCACTTTGCTAATAACTCCACTGCTACCACCAGCTGTCCGCACCTCCGATTAGCACGGTTGGCTATGTACGGCACGGAAGAATTTCAACATGCACAAATACCTACATCAGTGAGATTTGGGATGAGGCCGTACTCGACGTACATTGTGAACCAACGCACCAGACCCTAGCAGACCAAGCGGAGCGAGGGTGCATTGACGGTGTGCCGAGTGTGAGCGTACGTGCGTGCAATGGTGCTCATCACTGTCACCTTCCTCCCCTCCCGCCGCCGCCAACCTCTTGCGCCGTGCAGTGCCGCGAGCGAGCCAACCTCGTCGAGGACCAGGAGATGGAGATGCTCATGCAGGACGAGACGGCGTCGTCGTCGATGGCGTCGTCGGCGGCGGCGGCGCAAGAGAACCAGCACCTGCCGCCCACCACACGCCACCGCGACCGCAAGCGCCGGCTGCGCCGCTCCAGCTCGGCCGACTCGGAGAGCGCCGAGGGGACGGAGGGGGAGGCGGGGTGCGAGATGGGGGGCGGCGGCGGTGCAAGCGACTCGCTGGGCTGCGGCGGCCGCACCTCTCCGCCGGCGCAGCGCAGCTCGCCCGTGCCTCCGCGGCACTCCGGTGAGACGCCCGGCGGTTCGATTGCTTCGCTCCGTCGCTGTACTTGACGCCGCGGCGACGCGGGTGGCTCGGTGCGCACTGCCGGTCCCGCTCGTGGCCGGTGACTCCCAGTTCCGGGGAAACTTTTTTTACAGAGCGGGGGGTGGTGCAGTGCCTCACATCAAGGAGGTCCTCAGTTTCACTCCCTACTCGGGCTCATTTCTGCGTGCAGTTTGCTTCTCCCCTGTTCTGCGTGAGTTTCATCCCTGGTTACGATTTGCCAAACATCCTCATGTAGCAGGGCCCTCCTGAGAACGAGTCTTTCGACTTGTTGGGCTTTTCCTGGCACGTGAGAGAGGCCTTCATCCAGAAGTGGATAGACAATGGCTGATTACGACGACGATGACTGCAGTGGATCGGACATTGCGACGTGCTGCGTGTGCCGTGCAGACCCCGAGAGTGAGCACGGCGCGTACACGCCGTCGCGGCCATCTAGCCCGGCTCCCGGTGACCGCGTCTACACCAAACTGTCGAGCAGCCCGCCCCGCGCCAGCCCCGTGCGTGCCCCACCGGGGCTATCCCACGGCAAGGGTACGCACCGTCGCCACTAGGGGGAAAGGGCGGGGGGGGGGTGAGCGGGGGGCGATGTCGCCCGTGCGTACGTGAGTGCGCGTGTCCAAACTCATCAGTGCTCGCCAACAGCACTTAAGGTTTTGGTAACACCGCCGTGCCGGCCTTCATAGGTGCCGCTCGCTAACGGCGCTTGCTGTAACAGCCTGTGTAGGCTCCACGGGGGACCTTTGCCTCTGTTGTTTGTGCATGTGTGCGTGTCGCAGGCTCGGCCTTCATGTCTAAGAAGCGGCAGCAGCCAAAGTTCCGGAGCGTCATCTCGGACATTTTTGACGGTTCCATACTCAGCTCGGTGCAGTGCCTGACGTGCGACAGGGTGAGCCCCTGCCACTGCCTCCCCTTGCCCGAGTAGAACTGTGTGGTTCCTTTCCTTCCTCGGGATAAAGTGTGAGCGCTCCTGCCTCTTAAAAGACGCCCGGCCAGCGTCGAAGAGTAAGCCAAGATATATTCCATAGGTGCATCTCGAGAGCTGCTTTTATTGGAGGCCCCTTGTACCTGCAGTGGCGCGAGCAAGCACTTGCAGGGCTGCACCTTTAGCTTGATGGTTGAGAAGAGGGAGAGCTGTGGTGCAGTTGATTGCGCACAGTGCCCTTAACTCGGCGACGTGAGTTCGGTTCGATTCCTGGCCACGACTAATGTCGGGGGTGAGCGATATCCACGCCAGTCTTGCAGCTCCTCGAGGTCCTTCCCCCATACCTCTGATTAGCACGGTTGCCTACGTACAGTGCGAGAGAAGTTCAACGTACATACATGCATGCATACAGGTCGACTCGGCCTTAAGTAAACACCTGGTCAAACTCGGCATTAAATGAGTGGCAGGGAGTGTTCCATTGCGTTGGCCAAGTGAGTGGGTGATTGACGTCGGGGAGAGGGGTCGTTTGGACACCGCGGTCGCGTGCGAGGGGTCGTAGATTTTTAAAAAAAAAAAACGTCGACGAGCCGTGACGCCGAGCCACGATGCCGAAGCGCGGGGCCGTCTAGGCACGGCAGTCACGGCCGTGGTTGTGACTGTGGCTGTGGGTCCGGCGCCGGCGGTGGACGGTGGCGCGCGGCTGCGTGCGGCCCAGGTGTCGGCGACGGTGGAGACGTTCCAGGACATCTCGCTGCCGATCCCCGGCAAGGAGGACCTGGCGAAGCTGCACTCGGCGGCCCACCAGGGCGCCGCCGTCAAGGTGGGCGGCGCGTGCTCTGACGCGTACAGCTCCCAGAGCTGGCTCACCTTCCTCATGGACTACATACGCAGGTGAGTGCGGCGCGGGGGTGGTAGGGGGGTGGTGGGGAGGTGAGACGAGGGCGGGAGGGGCCGGTGGGTGGAACGCCCGCCAGGGGTCTGGAGAGCAGGGTGGTGGTGGTGCAGTGGTTCAGAGCCCTGGGATTGATTCGCGAGTCGGGCGACCTTTCTATGTGGAGCCTATAGGTTCTCTCTCCCCCTGTTCTTTGGGTTCTCCGGTTTCCTCCCATAGCTGATTTAAACTGTACAATATAACTGGTATTGGCCTAAGCATCGCCAATGCTGCAACAATTACCTGCAAATTACTCAATTGAGATCACACAGCCGCAGCAATATTGGCGGGACCCTCTTAGACTCGTTTTGACTTTTCTGGGTGAACACACATCATAATGATAATAAATAATAGATTTGTAGTTGAAGCCACGTACATTATCTGGCCAAATTTGTGTCGTTACGACCTTCCACCACCTGACACAGCCACACAAATTAAATTGTCACGTGGTGTTTAACAACACGCAAATTATCATTGTGTCAGCTCCCCAGAATTCTCACAACAAAATGTTGCAAATCCGTTTTGTATGAAATTGCGTCGAGTGTTAGGACAAGATCCAGGCAGGAAGTCTGGATAAAACTCCATTGTATCGACTGCCTCGTCAGGAGATCGGATCGAACCGGCCACCCCTAGATTGTGAGTCCAGCGTGCTGCCTATCGCGCCGCGGGCAGGATCCCCCGTGCCGCGTGTGATCGCTAGAGGACGCGTTCGCGGCAGCGGAGAGCTCAGCACGCGCCTGGCGTGCCACGTGGCCACCCATGTGGCACGCCAGCCGCGTGGGTGCCCCTCGCGGAGTGCCCGGCGGGGGCAGAGGGCGCACGTCACATGTCGGGTCTCCCACCGTGACGCGCAGGTTTGTGGTGTCCTGCGTTCCCAGCTGGTTCTGGGGCCCCGTGGTGACGCTGCAGGACTGCCTCGCCGCCTTCTTCGCTGCCGACGAGCTCAAGGGTGAGGGAGCGGCCGCCGGCGCTCACTTAGGTCCAGCCGGCGCTGTCTCTTGCTGCTGGGGCGGCCGCCCGCGCCGCATCGCCAGTGCCCGTGCCCGTGACAGCTGTCCGTGGGGTTTGTATGCGGTTGGGGGGAGAGGCTGCCGTTTCCGGCAGCATGGGGCGGGAGTTGAACCCACAACATCAGCCGCTTCCCATTTAACGGCTTTTTCTTATCGATTGGTGGATCGTTGATTTGTTATTGCATGGTGCAAGCCCCTTCCAAGGATGATTTAGACTTTTTTGAAGGTCCTAACCCCCCCTTCCCCCTCCCCCCCCAAGGGATGCCCTTGAAGTCGTCGGTGCTGCCCCGGTTGTTTTGCCCTTTGGGCTGTGCCGGAGTTTTGTTTTCCCTGCTCTAACCACCCAGCTTCCTCCTCTCCCGTAATGTGGCTTTGTTTTGCATGATGTGAAATGTCTTGAGTTGCATTCGCATTTGGACGCGATAGGAATTGTTGTTTTGCGTGTGAACCAAAGCCTGGACCGCCCCATAACATTTATGATAATGACAATGATGTTGTTCCGATGATGATCACCCTGCACTCACATTTTCTCACTGCACCCCCGTCCTCCTCCCCCCCCGCCAACCCGGTGGGATAGGAGACAACATGTACAGCTGTGAGCGGTGCAAGAAGTGAGTGACTCCCACTGCTCAAACTGCATCTCAAGTGCAACCGCTGCTGCCCTCCTGACTTGCCCTCACCTGTTATCTTCCACCCACCACCACCATATACCTACCACCCACCATTCACACCCACCACTTACTACCCACTACCTTGCCACCCACCATCCACCACAGTCTACCACCCACCGATTCGATACAATTGCGTGCAGGAATTGGATGGATGTTGCATCCAGAGACCATGAGTAATGGCAATGGCTTGGGGTGTGGAGGAGGTGGGAGAAGGCCTGATGATGATGATAAGCCCTAACTATCGTGGAAGCCCTAACCCTTGCCCCCAGTCTATCCTAACATCATTCTGACCCCATTAATCTGAGCTTCAACCCAAGTAGATCCAGGGAGCATGGCAGCACCTCGGCTCTTCACGCTGAACTCTGATCCCCACGTGTTTGTATTGTGCCTGCAGGCTGCGCAACGGCATCAAGTACTGCAAGGTGCTCAAACTGCCCGAGGTCGGTGCACGACGACAGTTCACGTACATTGCACGTTACATGGGTCCACTTGGACCCCCCCGCGTCTCCTCTGGGTCCCGCCATGTCACACGACCGCTACGTTCACCGTCATGTTATAAAAATTCATCTGAGAGCTTCCTTGAGATGTAACAATTCCACTCGCCCCCCCCTCCCCCACCTACTTCTGTGCTCCCCTCTCAGATCCTCTGCGTTCACCTCAAGCGCTTCCGGCACGAACTTATGTACTCCACCAAAATCGGCAGCCATGTGGCGTTCCCCACCGAGGGCCTTGAGATGCGGCCCTTCCTGGCCAAGGAGAGCCAGTCCCAGGTTACGACCTACGACCTCCTCTCCGTCATCTGCCACCACGGAACAGCTGGAAGTGGGTCCCACCTCTTGAGCATTAATTAGCTGATAACGTCTTAATATATATAGATGACTGCAGATCTCGGACGCATATTGCTTGTGACAGCTCGCCGCCTTCCATCTTGCTTCCTCAGCGTTCATGCAAATTGTGAGATGCAATTTGCATGAACAATGACGCTATATAAATCTAAACATTTTTATTACAATTATAAATTAGACGTAATACAAATCCACATTGTATCATAATGCCAGCTCAGTGCTCTGATCTCTGAGCCACCTGTCGACTTGCCGTGTCTGTACATTATAAGTATGTATCCCTTTATCGGCGCCGGCTGCGTGGCCTTGAGTAACAGGGGGGTGACGGCTCACGGACACCCTCCCTGCCCGTGACCCCGCAGGCGGACACTACGTGGCGTACTGCCAGAACGTGATCAACGGGCAGTGGTACGAGTTCGACGATCAGTGCGTCACTGAGGTTCACGAGACCGTCGTGCAGAACGCCGAGGCCTACGTGCTCTTCTACCGGTGAGTACCGCCCAACGTTCATGGCGCATGCAAACCGAGAGCACGTGACCCAGCGCTTTGCCCGTCGCCTCCTTGATGCTGTTCATTCGCTACTGCCGTGGTTTACTGTTCCCCCGAGCTTGATTCGTCGATTCCTCCTGCACACTTTTTGAGGACTTGGTTTTATTCTACGCTGTTGAATCATCACACTGCAGGTCACAAGAACTCACACTTTCAGACCAATGCCCCAGGCCACTTGCAAATGACACTCACCCTGGTCTCTTTGAGTTCTCACCACCTGATTATATCCAAAGCCCGCCACAAACAAACTCTGTCCGATACACCGTAGGGAGGCCTTCATCCAGCAGTGGATTGACGAAGGGCTGTGCATTTAAACAAAAAATATCTCGATTTTATTATTACACTGATGATTACGGATATTCTATTGAAGTCAGTTTGAAATTACCCTTAGACGCATATTCTCCACCCCTCCCCTTTCCTCTGCCCTCCTCCCCACTCGTCCTGTCTTTGTGCCACTCCTCCCCTCTCCTCCCCCCCTTTATCTCAACTTCCCCCTTCTCTTCCCTCTCCGTCTCACTCCTCCCCGCTCACCATACCTCGCTTCATCTCTCCTCCCTGCTCCTCTCCTCCCCTCTCTTCCACTCCCCTCTCCACAACTCCCCTCTCTTCCACTCCCCTCTCCACAACTCCCTCTGCCGCCCCACTCATCATCACTGCTCACCTCCCGCGCCTCTCTTCTTAATCTCCTTCACTCTCCTCCCTGCACCTCCCCTCCCCACTCCATATCTCACTTCCCTCCTGTTCCTTCTGCGCCTCTCTCTCCGCCCCGCTACAGGAAGAGTAATGAGGAGGCCATGCGCGAGCGGCAGAAGGTGATGTCGCTCGCGGGGCTCAAGGAGCCCAGTCTGCTCGAGTTCTACATCTCCCGCCAGTGGCTCAACCGCCTCAACACGTTCGCCGAGCCTGGGCCCATCACCAACCAAGACTTCCTGTGCTCCCACGGAGGTGCGGCTGTGACCGCTGTTGACCCTGTGTGGCTGGTTTATTGAGTTAGAAAGTCACCTGCTTCTCTCACATTCACACACACAACTGTCGGTATTATTTGTCAAATTGTTACATTGAGTGTGCAAGCAGCACTTGCCCCAACAGTCTGGTAAAGGCTATGCGGGGGATCTCTGTTTTTGTGTGTTTCACCAGGTGTTCCACCACACAAGTCGAGCTACATAGACGACCTGGTGGTGATCCTCCCACAGAACGTGTGGGATTACCTTTACAACAGGTGAGGCTTGTAGACTCGCTAAAACCTACAAAAACGAGCAGTAACAACAGCGTTGGTGGTGTTGGTGTCAACATCGTTCCTTGAGCGTGTGTGGTGTTGTTATTAGTCAGTTCTACAAATAAAAAAACACGACACAACTACATGTGTGTGCACTGTACAAGCAATACTTTACACGTACATGTTTTTGATTTTGCATTTGACCAGGAGAACTATACAAATACACATTTACACATACGCGGCGATGATGCTTTAATGTCCTTATTTACTTTAATGTGTACTATACCGTCCAGCATACTGTAAAAACGCAATAATTAGACATTTGCCATTGCATGCGATCGTGATACGCGGGGTCCCTGACATAACATGATCGCCATGTGGAGGGAGAAATCCACGTTGTTTTGGCTACGTTTGCTCGAAATGGGGAGATGGTTAAAAGCACGGTTCGATATGTAACGAGGTAATACTGTACATCTAAAATCATACTTTTCAAATGCTGTAACAAAAAAAACACGAGTTCTGCATTCTGATAGCGGATCTCTCCTTGTCTCCCCCCCCCCTACCAACGCACAGATATGGGGGCGGTCCAGCCGTGAACCACCTGTACGTGTGCAGCGTGTGCCAAGTGGAGATCGACCGGCTCGAGAGACGACGCAAAACCGAGATGGACACCTTCATCAGGGTGAGGTCGCCAAGACTCGCTAAGACTTGCTACCTCTTTGTGCAGCGTCCCGCAACTCCGATTAGCACGGTTGGCTACGTACGGTGAGAAAGAAGTTCAACATGCATACATAATTTGCCGATGAGGTTAATGATAATCAGGATAATGAAGGTTTGATGAGAATTATTGTGTTTGATAGAGCACCCTCCTTTACGGCCGGGGCGTCTCGGAGCGCTTTACAAGCGATAAGTGACCTGTGCCACGTTTAATCTCAGAATCAGAGGAAATCTGATGAGCTACGAAGCTCTTTTTCACAGATGTCCAGATCTCAAATCAGCTGTCCCTGTGCGGCGCAAGGTGACTCGGCACCTGGCCTGCAACGGACATTCGCCTTGCCAGTCAGGGGCGATGATTCCTATGCGTGTCATCCTAATTGAATAATATGCGGGTAATATTTATAATTTGGCAAACCATGACGCCGGCATACAAATGGTCTGTGCGTTTCAAATGATGTCAGGGGTTTTTTAATGTCCAGGTTGGAAGCGCGTTAATGCGTTAGCTCAGTCCACCTGCCTTTTTGTCTGCCAATTTGTCTGACTCTAACAGGGGGGGAGGTGGGGGCACGATAATGTTCGTAAAGATGACCCGATACTAGCAAAACTTGGGTATAAAGTTGTTCCTGTTCGGGACATACCCGAGAGATAACGGGCATGTGTCCCAAAGTCTTGAGGTGTGGTCACACCATTTAGACTCGTTGTGTGTGGTGCGAGCAGAAGAACAAGGCGTTCCAGGCGGACGAGCACCCGGGCGTGATCTACTGCATCAGCATGGAGTGGTTCCGCGAGTGGGAGGGGTTCGTAAAAGGCAAAGACAGCGGTGAGTGGCGGTCGCAGAAAAAACAACATAAGCAGTATCAACAGCAGCAGCATTAACACCAGCAGCAGTATTATCGCCGAGGAGGGCGGCTTAGGGTTTGGCTGTTTAAGCTGCCGCAAGCTCCCCTAGCCGATGCCTCCATATGTGCGTAATGTCGGTCTCTTTGAGAAGTGCGATGTGTGTGTGGGATCACGTGCGAGAATCTTAACGCGTTAGACTTCGGCTCGCCTGGATTTCCAGGCATTCTGTGGGTTAAAAGTACAAAGTTGATACAAGGAAAATAAATACCAAGTAGCTCTTGCGGATACATTACAATTGCAGTGACAATTGTTAGTAAGTAAGGACTTGTCCCTTGCTTTTTATTCGACGCGTGTGCGGCGATGGGTGCAGCCATCGATCGAGGGTCGAATTCGAATCGTGTGTGATCGGCATCGCACTCGCTGAAGGTATGCCTTCAGGGAAGTCGTGTACTGTATACGCAACTGCACTCAATTCTGTGAGTCACTTATGACTGCTTTGCCATTACTTATTGCCAAATATGGACTCAGACTATTGTCCTATCATCTCATAGAGTCCCTGGCACGTAATAATATGCTACACAGTAGCAGTGGGGGTCGCAAGATGCCGATTTATTACTAATAAACCCCAATGATCCCATCGAAATTAGGGATTTCGATCAGATCACTGGGGGGGGCATGTGAACCCCCACCCCCCCCCCCCCCACTGGCTCGCCAGTGGCGCATTGGTTAGTGCACTACACTTTTAATCCGGCGACCCGAGTTCGATTCTTGGCTACAGCTAACATCAGCAGTGAGCAATATTGAAACCCCCATGGGAGGGGGTGGTTACCACCATGCATGCAACGAGTGCTTTTGGCTGCCGCGTGCCTACGTTGTGGGTAGTACAAAGCAGAGCAGCAAAATCGAAATGTTGTATTGTACCTCTGTGCTCCAATGTGTCTGCTGCCCCCTTCAATCTGCGCTCACCAGCACGGTGAAGTATGGCCTATTGCTGTTCACTGTTGAGTGTGTGTTTTGCGTTTGTGTTACAGAAGCACCAGGGCCAATCGACAACAGCAAAATTGCAGTTAACAAGGGCGGCCACATCGCAGCTAAAGCAGGTGATGGGAAATAGCCAACCGTTATGAATGTAAATCTCACGTTGCAGCGACTTCTATTATAATAGATGGCATGATAAAGCAGTGTAGCCGTGCGTCGATTCATGCGTGAATATCGATTAAAAGTTTGTGATACAAGCATGAATATCGTTTCAAAGTTTGCGATACATGCATTGAATCGCAATTGTAACGGTGCACGCATTCAGTTTGTGTTGTGTGTAATTTTTTCTTTGAATCACATGGATTTTGAAAAGCAACTGACGAAATTGTAACTGTGTCGAATCTGGTAATTCATTAGATGGCATCAGGAGTTGCTCAATATGTAACATCTGTACCTCCTGTATAAGTACAGTCACATGTGTAATGCTTTCATTAAATTACAGGTGGAAGTGAATAACCTCGAGCAACAGCTAACAATCGTGAACCTTTGTCGACCCCCTCTTACCACTACAGGTGCAGACTATGGACAGATCTCCCGGGAGACCTGGAACTACCTGGTCTCCCTCTACGGGGGCGGCCCCGAAATCACGCTGGGCCAGGGCTCATCGCAGGGTTCTTCCGGCCAGGGGCTGGCGGCCCAGGCCCAACCCACGGCCCAAGCCATGGCTCAGGCCGTGCCAGTCCAGACATCGACCCAAGTGCCAGTCCAGCTGCCACCACAAGGGCTTCCGCACGTGCCACCACCGCCACCTTCCTCGCAAGTCTCCGAGGTGGTGGTGCGGCCAGCCTTGGTCTCAGTAGCAGCAGGAGGAGCTGGAGGAGTAGGAGGTGCAGCAGAAGGTGCAGCAGGAGCAGCAGCAGGAGCAGCAGTAGGAGCAGCTGGAGGTGAAGACGGTGAAGACACTTCCGCTATGGAGACCAAGATGGAAGTGGAGTCAGATGTGGCGTGAAAGGAGGCGAAGGTCCTGCTGTTTCGTGTTTGGTTGAGGGGAGAGAAGTGGGTTCAGGTAGAATCATGGTGGCTACTACCCGTCACCTGCTGCCTCTTTATTTCCGCGCCTGTGGTGGGTTTTTTTTCCATTGCGTGCCCCTTGACGCAGGGTCGCGGCAGTCCATCACCTGGGCTGTTTTGCAGTGCTGCGCTGTCGAGTTGTGTGCAAGTTGAGTGTGCGTGACTGAGTAAAGCAAGTAATTTATAACAGGGGATGAGTGACGTGCAATTAACCCAATTAGAATGATTTTTGTCGAGCACTTGACGTTACAGCGTACTGTGAAATAGGACCAGGCTACTGGAGAAAGGGACCATGAGAATGCTCCGAAGTTTATTAGCAAATACTGTGCGCCCCGGCTAAGCAGCTAGTTGAGCACGTGCGTGCGTGTGTGCATTGTCGCTAGTGCAGTGCTGATGTGGAGGTGAATTTGACGAATATCCGGTCGTTGTGCATAAACGATATGCTATGATGTACGCATTCTCAACGTTTTATTTATTGTGCATCTCTACGTTGTGAGGTTTTGATCGCATGGCACGTGACCGAGGGTAGCGGCGCTGCTGACAGCAGACGGACCGGTTGTCATGCAAATGAGCGTTGCCGATCTTCCAGGCCGGTTTGCAAAAATGAGTGGGCAATGCTTTTTTTTGGGAAGAGGTTGTGACATAACCAACAGAGAACAAGTGCAAATAATCACACGTCTTGCGTTGTATTTAGTCGTCGAACTTACCGTTCGGTGCAGCATTACGCTCTCTTGTTGGTTCATTTTATCATTAAGCCAAATTCACAGTTGCAGTCGGTTATCGTTAAACAGGCGTCTGTGTTGGTAGCAAAGTAATGCTTTGTTACGGCAGTAATTACAAGTACAGTCTCAGGAGTTGGCTGGGGTGAATTGAAAACACTAATGTATTGTTGTGGATACCAGGATATTCTCGTGGATTAACGAGGAACTTGGAAAATACATAATGCATTTCCAAGGTTGACGTCATTCCGGACACCAGAAACGCACAGGTAGCATCGAAGCGTGTGAAGCCAGTTCAGCTCTATTCACAATTCGCGAGGACGATTCAGGGGGAGAAACGGTGCTTGTATAAACTCTCAAACTTGGTTTTTTTCTTCCTCCTCCAAATCCTAATTTTGTATCACATGGCACCTTATACGAACATTGAGAGTCCACATTTATAGTACGAGTTGGCCAACAGCTGAATTCATTGACATTCCAGTAGCGTTTGGTGCCGCTGATTCAAGAATCGCACAATTGGCCTGTTGATGGTGATGGAACCAATTGTTCGCCATCTGTGTGGGTTTGTGCCCAGGTTTGTGAGCAAAGGTTGGCCAGGCTCGACTCGCTGGTCCGAATATTCGGGGACGTTTTGCCACACAGCGCGATTGTTACTTGTACTCATTGATGTCGTCGGTCGTTTGCCACGGGGAGTCTCAATGAGAGAATGACCCCGTGAAATCCTCTTGTCTGTTCGCGAGCTAAGGCTTCTGAATTTTGACTGATATAAACCCTAGGGAGTCAGTCTGATGAGATTCTAGCTTTAATCTGATCACTATTTCACTACAAGGATGCAGCCTTTCGCCCAAGTTTGGTCTTATGGTTATTAGTGTTGGAATAACGGCTAGGACTTGTTAATGTGCATGTTGGAACTGATGGAGCTGGGCTTGTGAATTAGAAGGTCCATTCTCATCGAACGGCCTCTCCGCTGCTCGGCACCGTGCGCTGTGAGCAATGCCTCGTCGTCATAATCTCATCGCCCGCTGTGTATGGGACTCGCATTATCGCTTAATAAAGTCGGTGAAACAGTCTGCCCGTCCGCGTTGTGTACAGCAGTCACAAACGGGGGGGGGGGCATTGCCAGTTCTAAACAAACGACTCGTCGGAGACGCGAGTTTTCCCTCAGAAAAATGCCAAATAATTTGAAAAAAACTTGAACAAAAAATTTCATCGCAAGATATTTATCTTGCTCAGAACATAATGTTCCCGAAACAAGCTCACATTAGCTCCCAGTTAAACTACAAATGTGTTGAAGACTTCCTAAAAAACACGGAAGTTTGAGGTTGAAAATGCTCCAAATAAAAGATTGAGGGTTTTGTTTGTAACGTGTGTTTTTAAACATTTTAAACATTAGCAATCAACAAGAAGCTTACATTTGTTCTCAATAAACTAAATTATTGGAGAGATTTAAACGAGCGACCAATTAATTCCAAACGTGTGTGAAATTTTGTTTATAAAAAAGAGTTTTAAAAAATTGTTCCTCTAAAATAAAAAGCAATTTGTGTTCCCAAAAGACAGACATTGGTTCCCAACAAAGCAAAATGTTGAGATTTGAAACGAATATTGAGATGTCTTGTTCAATATTGACCTTTGTCTACAACAAAACCAAGCAAAATAGTGAAGAATTTCCAAGTTAGAGATTTGCATTTTGTTTCCAACTAAGGACTGAAATGAACACAAACTCAAATCTGTTTTCAATAAAACAGCAAATAATCCGCAAAAACTGATTTTTAAAAATATTTTCCCTGAGAAAAATATAGATCCCAGCCAAGACAAGTTTCTCAAAAGTCTCAAATGTATTCCCTCCAAAAAGACTTACATTTTCCAACAAAACTAAATATTCTAATTTCTAAAAAGGGACCATTCCCAAGCAAAAGTCTGACGCTTGTTCTTAACAACAAAAACATCTACTTTGAAGTTTTCAACATTCCGTTTGTTATGATTAAATTAATTTACACCCACTGCCACCAAAAACAAACCGACCGTGTACCCCCCTCCCCAACACACAAACATTTTTAATTCGTCCCCTCATCGATTGGCACATTGATTATTTCACATTTGTTGTCATTAATTTCCCCTCAGTGCGCGCGACCAACAGAGGCACCGTGGCAGTGGGCCGCCTCCCGCCACGGTGCCCCCCCCCGCTCTGCCCCCCCCGCTCTGCCCCCCCCCGCTCTGCCCCCCCCCCCGCTCTGCCCCCCCCGCTCTGCCCCCCCCCCCGCTCTGCCCCCCCCGCTCTGCCCCCCCCCCGCTCTGCCCCCCCCCGCTCTGCCCCCCCCGCCCTGCCCCCCCCGCTCTGCCCATCCCCGCCCTGCCCCCCCCGCTCTGCCCGCCCTGCCCCCCCCGCCCTGCCCCCCCCCCCGCTCTGCCCCCCCCCCGCTCTGCCCCCCCCCGCTCTGCCCCCCCCCCCCCGCTCTGCCCCCCCCCCCGCTCTGCCCCCCCCCCGCTCTGCCCCCCCCCCCCCGCTCTGCCCCCCCCCCCGCTCTGCCCCCCCCCCCCGCTCTGCCCCCCGCCCTGCCCTAGCCTCCCCCCCCCCGGGCCGCCATGCGCGGCGCAGTGCATGCTGGGAGGCGGCGCGGCCTGTGCCACTATGGCTTTTGTTCCCGCGTCTCCTCGCTGAGCTGCCCGCTCGCAGCAGCCGCAGCCTCCTCCTCCTCCTCGTCGCCGCCCTCACCTCTTCTTGCTGTCGTTCTCGACCGTCTTGGGTGAGGTGACCCGCGCGTCGCGGGGGCCAGAAGCGGGACGACGGCGAGGAGGAGGGAGGGAGGCGGCCGACGCGGCCACCTCGAGGGTTTGGGGAAGGGGGGGCGCGGGTGTGGAGGGCGGGGAGGTGGTGCGGCCTAGCCTAGCCCCGGGGATCGGGGCGAGACCACGGGCTCGGCTAGCAGCGCGGCAGGGATGGGGCGCGCGGAGGGCGGCAGGGTGGGGGCGGTGGTGTCAGGGGCTGTGCATGGAAAGGGTGCGAGTGAGCAGAGTAAAGGTGCATGCTGCGAGACGTGTGGAGTGCGGTGGGTGCGAGCTGTGAGTGGAGAAGTCGGCACAGTGTTGGGGTGTGCAGAGTGGGGTGTGATGGGGGGGGGGCGCGTGTTCCACGTGAGCGGTGTTTTGGTGGTGTGAGTCGAGAGGGGTGGATGTTCTGGTGCGTGTGCATTTGGTTGGTGTTCGTGGAGCGCGTGGTTTGAAGGGGAGGGGGATGTGGCATTAATCTGTTGTGTGTTTTGTGCTTAAGCGTGCGTGTGGGTGATAAGGATGTACGCGTGTGGCCGATGCGCATGCAACCGTGTGTGGTGCAGGAAGGGGGTTCTTGGGTGTGTAATTGTGCCAAGCGCCGCCAGAAGAGCCTCACTGAATCTCGAGGCTCCTTTTCAGGAGGATACTGGTACTCTGGGATGTTTGGCCAATTCCATAAATGATTGTTTCGCTTCATGTGGGAAGAAACTGGAGAACCCAGAAAGAACTCGCCACGTATGCATACGAGGGGGGTAACACTCAAAGCTCAGCACAGATAGATCTCATAATCCACCGAGACACAGCGATATATTCTGACCACTTCACAGTTCAACCGTGTGACACCTGGTACTCTGCAATCAGTCTCCCATCCAAGTACTAACCTGGCTAAGACATTAGCTTCATTGCTCTTACAAGACCCGGTGCATTCAGGGTGATTTGGTGGCGAGTATCGGCAGTGGAAGGCTGTAAGTGGATATTTGAGTACTACATTTGTCAAATTGAATTATGTGTCCTACTAAATGTAAACATGTGTTCTGCCACGCTGCTGCTATTTTTACAAGTACAACTTGTAAAAGTGACGTGTCATTTCTTTTTCAGCGTAACTAACACCCCAGAGTCATGATGAAATTCTGTTTTGGCATTAGCATCTGTGCTGGTAATGGCATACAATTAAACATTTGTATTAAACCGTTTAGGTAGTAAGTAGTGTATGAACAGTACAATTGTTAAAATAAAATCATTTGGTACCATTATCACTTTTTATTGTCCTGAGGAAACTGATGATTGAGTGTGTGCAGGTTAATGTTCGACTGTTTTTCATGGAAAAAATAATGTTAGTTGCGGGTAATTTCGGCATCGTTTTGATACATTAGTCCAGCATTCCTCACAACGGCCAAGGTGTCCTTTCGACAATTTATGAGCCCAATCAGCATTTTCGAGCTGGCTTCTTAAACTGGTGACATCTGGGCCAAATGTGACTTGTGGAAGGCTCTTGGAGTGGCCTGCCAGGCTCTGGTTTGCTTAGAGATATAGCTCACAAGAAGAGATACACATTGGTGAGATGACAGATTAACAAGACATCGAGGGTTGGAGAGAGCTGTAGACAAGAGATAAAGATAATTGGTGAGATGAACAAGAGGTAAACAAGAGATAGAGGTGAGAGACCTGGGGTGGTGTTCACCTTTCGTTTGGCTTATGAAGAGCAACTGTTGGAGGTCAGTTGTAAATTATTTAGACATTCATTTGCTTTGTGTAAGAGTCTGTGAATAACCTGAAGTCACATGTGCAGACGTGACAATGTCACAACACCGCGCGATGCCATAACATGAGGTGGCGCGCAAGCACATGCCGATTAAATCATGTCGGCCTCCAGATAAGCTCTAGCGAAAGAACCCTGTTGGTGATGTCTGTTCTTTACAACCCTGATGTCGTCCCCGACCCCGCAGGTTCAACATCTGTGTGAGCGGCGCGGACTGCAGCATGCTGACGGCGCTGGGCGGGAGATGGCCGCTCCAAGACCACAGCGCCTGACGCGCTCCACCGCCAGCGGCGGCGGCGCCAACGGCCTCGACGACAATTTCTGCGGCCGCAGCCTCCGCAACCGCACCGTCAGCTTCCCTCCCCCGGTCCCGCCGGTGCCCCCCTCGGTGCCCACGCCGCCCGTACCGGTCTTCGCGCCGCCGGCCCCCGCACCGCCTCCCCCCGGCGAGGACGAGGCCTCTCAGGCATCCAGGACGACGCAGGCCGCCGCGGCGGGGCCACCGCTGCCGGCGCCACCGCCAACGCGGTGCAGGCCCGAGTCTGGGGTGGCGCCAGCGGCCACGGGGCCCGGACCGGCAGCCGGAGCCGGAGGCGGAGCGGCTGGGGGGCGCGACGGCTCGTGCTGGACCCCCGGGACACGCAAGCGCACGCCTTCCTCCAAGGACACGGAACTGTCGCCCTCCTCAGCTGCCGTGGTGGCGGTGGCGGCGGCGGCGGCCGTGCCTCCGCCGGTGCCCAAGCGAGCCAAGCGCTGCTCTCGTTCGGAGACCATTGAGCCGGCGAGTGGGGACAGGAAGAAGGAGGCGCTGCCGATTACCCCCGGTGTGTGCAGCGGCGGAAAAAACGCTGGAACAACCGAGAATTCCATCCAGGATTGCGCCAATGATGATGATGATGATGACGAAGGCAGTGGCGGTGGTAACAAATGCGAGGCACAGGACAATCTGCTGGTCCGCTTGGACAACGGTGGCCTGGACGCTGTGGAAAAGGCCAGCGCCACCCCCGTTGCCAGCGCCGACAACGCGGAGACCACGAACGGATGCGATAGCGACGCGCAAAGCGCATTCTTGGTGACGGGCGAGCTGGTCTCTGAGTTAAGCGAGCTCGCGAACGGGGGAGCCAGCATTTGCGCCGAGCCCACACCACACCTCGCGCCCCCCTGTGCTGCGTCACCACCGGTGGGGCTGTGCGTGGAGGAGGCTCACACAGCTGGTACGAGTGCCACGACGGCGCACCAGCCCCACAGTGTGAAAGCACCAGCCCCGGACCATGTGGGCGCGGTCACGGAGGGATGCCCAAGCTCTCCTGACCGACAGCAGCAACCGTGTAAAGCACCTGGAGTCACCGTGGTTGCATCTCCCGCTACCACCGCCGCCCCTCCAGTAGCTCCCAAAACGCCGCTGAGGACTTCGCCGCGAAAGGGCAAAGGTCGGCACGCGGGCCAGGCGGCTGCGGCGGCAGACAGTGTGACCGGAGCACCGCCCGGTCCTACCGAGATGCCGCAGAAGGCGGAGGGGGTGAGCGAGGCGACTTGTGCGATGGTGGCGCAAGCAGAGGCCTGCGGGAAAGTGAGCAAAGTGCAACCGGCGCCGGAGGTAGAGGAGCCGGAGGAGGAGCAGGAGGAAGAGGAGGAAGATCCGGATGTGTATTACTTCGAGTCGGATCACGTGGCCTTAAAACACAACAAGGAGTGAGTTTGCTGGGTCACGATTGGGTGGGTTGCTCGCAGAGATTAATGTGTGCCGTGAAATCTTTTTATTTCATATTTTGATAGAAGTTATATTGCACTTGCGCTATCTGCATCATACGTTGAGTTGCAGACGTTTCCATTGGAAGCAGTGCAATGCTCTAACATCCATGAGAAAATTGGTAAACTGCCTAGTGACATGATCCAGTATCAGGTCACTTTTTTCTATACTTTGTAAATTGTTGTCATTGTATGACAGTCGCACGAACTCCTGTGTCAACTTCCGTTTGTTTACTCTGGTGCATGTGGCGCGCTGCACTGATCATCCCTCTTAACGACCCCGTGCCATGTCTCGTCCCCGGGCAGCTACCAGCGGCTGCTACAGACCATCGTGGTGCTGGAGGCCCAGCGAGCACAGGCCATCCGCGACGTGGACAGCATGACAGCGCAGCAGCGTGCCGCGCTAGCTGACCCCATCACCTTCGTACAGCAGATACAGAACAAGGTGCGTGGGCGACGACGGAAATCTTGTGCCTGCGTTCGTCGCTGAGCTCATTAGCACGGCTTATAATGATTGAACAACTTGGCCAAGTTTCTGCAGCTCTCCACATCCAGTATACCCCTCAATATGGCCGTGGCGACTAATCACATTGCACGTCCCAGAGTTTAGCGACCTGGAATCTATTCGGTGAAATTACTAGCTCCTGGGACTGTGAGTCTGCAATGAAAGTTCCTAGCCTGGCGCATGTGCTGCTGTAGATGCATCACAGCTGTTGTTGTCGCCACGCGTGTCCAGGAACGTTTTTGGTTGCCAACCCGGTCACTTGTAGGACCACTCATCTGCCGTCAAAGTGCACATAGCCTGACACAAGTGTTGCAGTTGTCTTTGTAATTGTTACGCGTTCCCCACATGTGTATACAAGCGGATGGGTGTACGGACCACTCGGAGGGCAAATGCATTCGTTATCAAGAAAGCGCACCTAGCCTGGCACTAGCAACTGTAATTGTTGTGCGTTCCCAGGAACCTCTGGGCTTGCCAACACCGCAAAGGGTGGTGCAGCTGCCTCCGCTGGCGTGGGACCATTACACGTCGGGGGTCGCCGCCTTCCCCATGGAGGAGGCCTCCGGCAAGAGGCACTGCACACGCAGACTCAAGCTCAGCTTCGACAAAGGTGGGGCCTGGTCAGGGGCGGAGCCAGGATTTTGACTTGGGGGGGGCTTACTTCAATAGTCTGAGATATCCAGTGTATGTTTTCCAATGGACGCCACAAATGTATAAAACAAATTTTATTGGATTTGAACGCGGAGTTTATTAATAGGTCGGAGCCGCTGATGTGGCTAATAAGTTCGAAAGGCTGCCGTTCAAGCAGCCTGCAGGGCAGCACAATGTGGCAGCCGGATATCCGGTTATCCCGATTACCGACTTTCCCAAAATTTTAGGGGGGGCTAAGCCCCCCCCCCCAGCCCCCCCTGTGGCTCCGCCCCTGGGCCTGGTACACCATTGACCCTAGAGCCACTGGCCCAACACATGGCTTTCCGGTGCCACACAAGGGTGGAAAATGCGAACAATGATATTCTTGATGACTTTTAAATCTAAGTTACAAATATGTGCAATAGCAAGGTGAGGGGGGAAGCTTTTTAAATGTGTATGTTAAATATATTTTGCACCGTATGTAGCCAACCGTGCTAATCAAAGCAATACGTTGTTCAATGAGGCGACCCGATTAATGTTTGATTATCAATTTTGGGAAAAACTGACTGTGATATGAAACATCTACAGAATTAAAATATCCAGTGTATATAATACATACTATGTATGATAAGATTCATGCTAAGGCACATACCCTATAAAAACAGCAAATTTTATAATGCAAAAATGGTGATAAATGGCTGTGCCTTTTTGGCAAAGGAGATAACATTAAATTATCACGCGTGACATCACCTTGTTGTCCGGCATGAAGCGTAACGTTATTATCGCTAAACATTTCCCAGGACAAATAATATTCTTTTATTTTCATGCAGCATCGTCATTTATGCAGATTGCATCTCAAGACGCTGTAGAATTTGTAACGGGCACAGATTTCGCACGGGGGTGTGGAAATCCGCAGACGGGCGCTTGGGAAGACGGCCAGAACCGGGGAGCAAACGCATGTTTGAAAGCGAGATATAATCCATGCGTGAGCGTGAGTATTCTTCCTGGTTTGTTTTGCCCATGTATCTGTGTGCATGTGTGCGCAGGCAGTGGGGAGCGGTTAGCACGCTGCGCTACAAACCCTGCGACCCGAGTTCGATTTCCGCTCATGGCTAATAACTGTGATGATTATATTAACTGGTCCTGGGCCTCCACTAGGTCGACTCAGCCTTAAATGAGTACGTGGTGCAATGTGTAAACATCGCCACTTGGGAGATGAAGGTGGCCGGGCGTGGTGCTGGCAACCCACCCCCTCGTGTGCCTTGATCGACTTCATAGGTGCTCGCTCGCAGCACTTGCCCCATCAGTCTATTAAGGCTATACGGGGGATCTTGGTCTTTGTGTGCGCAGGCTACCCAATACGCCCGGCAAGTCCCCTTGACGTGTCCAAACGGAAAGCGTCCATCGAGGGCCCACGGGAGGCCGAGGGCGAGGCCCAGGGCGTGCCGAAGTTGTTCCCGCCCCTCGCCGAGGCCGCCAGCTCCTCAGCCGCTCTTCCCCCTAACAGCAACAACAACAACAGTGGCGGCAGCAGCGGCAGCAACAACGTCAACAACATTTGCAGCAACAACAGCAACAGTGGCAGCAACAGTGGCAGCGAGTGCAGTCTGGGGGGTGACGGGCTGACGCCGGGGTCCTCGCACATGGGGCTCGTGGTACGGGGACGTCTGTGCGAGGGCCAAAAGCCTGAGACGTTCAACCAGCTGTGGACGGTGGAGGAGCAGGTACGCCAGCCGCCAGCATACGTATGTCACACCTGCTGTCTCTGTCTGACCCACCAGCCTCCTGTCTCGCCTGCTGTCTCATCGTTGCACCTATCAACCAGCTCTCTAATCCAACAGCATAGGCTCTTACTTGCTAGACTGATCCCCCAGTCTTGCTGTCTGACCTCCCACCTCTTAACCTGATTCGTCACCTCCCACCTTGATCCCCCATTCTCAATATGAGCTCCTGTTTCCTAATCTGACCCTCCGTCTTCCACCTTATTCCCCTCTCTAATAGCCTCATCTCCCACCTCCCAGCCTGATCCCCCATCTCCCAGCATGGTTTTTTCCCATCTCCCACCCTCTAGTACCTCCCAATATACTCATCCCATCCACCAGTACACTCCTTCAGCCACCAAGTGCCAGCTGTATTCTTGCTGCCTCGGCAGTAATTGAGGAGTGGAGCACAGGGCGTGTGGGAGAGAGAGAGCTTGCATTGTTTCCCTGGCGATGGTAACCGTGGCGATGGTGACCATGGCGACCGTTGCAGAAGCGGCTCGAGGAGCTGCTGGTGCAGCACCCGCCCGAGGAAGTGGAGGCTCGGCGCTGGCAGAAGATCGCCACCGCCCTTGGCAACCGCACACCCAAGCAGGTGTGTGTGTACAGAAGCACGCATGTGTATCTACCCACGCACGTGCATGTACGCAGACAAATACAAATGTCCCCTGCGTAGCCTTTAATACACTGTTGGGACAAGTGCTGCTAGCGAGCATCTGTGAAGGCCTGAAAGACACGCGAGGGCGTGGTGTGGCTTGCAGGCACCACTCCCTGGCCACCTTTGTCTTCCCAGGCCTGATTATTGTACGTTATATTCGGGGAAGCCTCGGACTGGTGCGAGTTTAGATATCACTCGCCACTGATGCCACGAAATTGAATTCGGGTCGCTGGGTTCGTGATGCGGTGTGCCAACCACCTCGTAGGTGTGAGCCGATGCTGTGCAACTGTAGCGATTGGGTTAATGTGTAAACGTGCAGCCCTTGTGTTGATCCACCGCTGGATGAGGGCATGCCGACATCATGTGACTCGCAAGGTTATTTGACCATACTTCACCACGCTGTTCGTTGGGGATAGATAAAGGCGGGGAGCAAAGGTGTGGAAGCATCGTATATATTATGTATGTATGTGTACCGTTACACGTGATGCATGTGAATGTAAATGTTCTATTCGAGGTTAACATGATTACAAAACAGAGCACACACGCATTTAATAAACATGAATTGGACCAGGAGTCTGCATTGATTTTTAATGGGTTCTGCATATGCCTGCACAGCGGGTTGTTATGATGACACGAGGAAGACAATTTCCACTCCACGTCTAAACTCGCTGCCCTGTGCCTGCAGTCGCATTACCATAGCATTCCATTTATGTCTGCAGTATACGGAGGAGCAAGCACAAAAAAACAAAGACGAAGATCCCCCATATAGCCTTTAACAGGCTGTCGGGGCAAGTGCTGTTAGTAAGCACCTCTTAAGGCCGGCATGGCACACGAAGGGGGTTAGGTGGCCAACACCATGCCCAGCTGCCTTTGTCTCCCCAGTGCTGAAGTTTAACACACCGCACCAGGTCCTCATTTAAGGCTGAGTCGACCTAGGGGAAGGCCTAGGACCGGTTCAGATATTCGTCACCGGTGTTGGCCGTGAGTGGGACTCTGAGTGGGAGTCTAACTCGGGTCACCATGTTTGTCGCTCAGTGCGCTAACCACTTTGCCACTGCTGCTGCTTGGGGAGGAGTGTCACAGCGGTTTGTGTATTGCGCTCTTACCCTGGCAACCTGAGTTTGATTCCAAGCCAAGGCTAACATTGGCGGCGAGTGAATGACATTTGAACCGGTCCTGGCAGAGCAACCCCCCCCCCTCCCACCCTTTCACCATCCCTCACTGACCAGCATGGTAAAGTATGGTTAAAAAGTTGCATCACTGACACGGCCTCCACTACCAGCAGTGGATTAACAAGGGGCTGTGAATTATTATTGTAAGCAGTCGTACAAAATAATGATAGCCCAATGCAGGACCCCTCTGAACAAGAGATTGAGACTCATAAAGTATTAAAGCTTTCGTGACTGCATAAAATTACTCATTGGTTTTTTCGGTAAAGTCACGTATGTAGAAATACAAGAAAAATTATATTAAAACAAAAAACAATCACGACGTTTCGATCACAACGCAAGTGATCTTCATCAGGTGTCAAGAACAAATCACGGAGGTAAATACAACAAAAAGATGAGAGACGAGAATTCAACAAACTTGAAAAAACATTCATGTTTTTTCAGGTTTTTGTTGTATTTACCTCCGTGATTTGTTCTTGACACCTGATGAAGATCGCTTGCGTTGTGATCGAAACGTCGTGATTGTTTTTTGTTTTAATATAATTTTTCTTGTATTTCTACATACCTGACTTTACCGAAAAAACCAATGAGATTGAGACTCCTCTGTGAGGCTTGTATAAATTAATACATTACATTCCTACGATCACTAGGGTTGTAAAGAGAGGGAGAAAAAGTGAAGAATACGGTGAGAGATGCGTCGCGCGTCTGTGTTGTGACTGCGGCTGCGCTGGGGCTTCCGTGTGCTTCCTGCAGGTGGCCAGCAGAGTGCAGAAGTACTTTATCAAGCTGGCTAAGGCCGGCCTGCCCGTGCCCGGGCGCACTCCCAACCTCTTCATGTACACCAAGAAGGTGCGCTCGCAAACCGCGGCCCAGCCCCTGCCTGCTGCCGCTGCTTCCCCTACACTGCGCCTTGCACCACTCACTCAGCCGCACAACTCGGCTGCACCACTCACCTGCACAATTAGCTGCAGTGCTCAGCTGCAACACTCATGTGCAGCACTCAGCTACACCACTCACCTGCACCACTCAGCTGCACAACTCACCTGCAACACTCACCTGCAACACTCAGCCGCACAACTCGGCTGCACCACTCGGCTGCACCACTCACCTGCATAATTAGCTGCAAAGCCCAGCTGCAACACTCACCTGCAAGACTCGGCTAAACAACTCACCTGCACCACTCAGCTGCACGACTCAGCTGCACGACTCACCTGCACCAATTGCCTGCACAACTCACCTGCAACACTCACCTGCAACACTCAGCCACACAACTCAGCCGCACAACCCGTCTGCAGCACTCACCTGCACAATTAGCTGCAATGCTCAGCTGCAACACTCACCTGCAAGACTCAGCTAAACAACTCACCTGCACCACTCAGCTGCACGACTCACCTGCACCAATTGGCTGCAATGCTCAGCTGCAACACTCACCTGCAAGACTCGGCTAAACAACTCACCTACACCACACAGCTACACACTCACTTGCACCATTCAGCTACAACATTCACCTGCATCACTCAGCGAAACCACTCACCTGCAACACTCAGCTGCACCGCTCAGCTGCACCGCTCATTTGCAGCACTCAGCTGCAACGAGTCGGCATTGTTGAGATCCTCGGTTTGAGCTGCCTGTGATTAAACCGGCTTCTCAAGTGTGGCGAGATATTGGTGTCAGCCTGGTCACCAATGACCACTAAAAAAAAAACATGATTAAATTTGTTCCTGCACTCGTGTACATCATCATCAGCATTGTTAAATCCAATGCTGAATGAAGGCGTACCCACGTTGTGTCGGTCATGGGCATTGTTTGCCCATATTTCACTACGCTGGTCAATGTGGGTTGACTAAGGGAGGGCCCAGCACCAGTTCAGATATCGCTCGCCACCGAATTTAGCTGTGGCCAGGAATCGATCATTGGTTGCTGAGTTCATAGCGTGTCGTGCACTACACTGTGCCACTGATCCACCACAGTTCTGCACATAATTTGGCTACATTACAAACACTTAGAATTAAAAATATCAGATTGACCGCCATGTGACAAACATTACTCTGCCTGCAGCAGGGTCAATGAAAAAGTGCTGCCCTCTACTGTGTAGACCAGACATCGCTTAAAGGGCTCGGTCATATATCCGCTTCTGCGGGCCGTTCTCCAACACACGAAGAGGGTGGCACTGCTCGGCGAGTGGGTTCCGCATCTCGTGATGACACGACGGCGGTGGCGCAGTCGCGGCCAAATTGGGGAAAGCCACAAAACTAGTTCCACAAAGACCCACTGTGCCCCGTTAAGCCTGTGCTGTGCTGCGTTCCCGTGAGCTGGAGTCACCGCTGTTACGTCTGTGAGCATCAGTCAGCCGAGTACGTTAACTCGTAGCACCTGAGGCTGTCCTCTGATCTCCTGCCAATCATCCTGATCTGTTAACGCGCAACGCCCAGGGCCGTCTCGCTCCGTCTGCCAATTACTCTGTCCATTATTTAGGCAGGTAGTGATTCGTTGATTCATTGCTCACAGTCACGGTCATCATTGCCATCAATAATGGCCTATCCACTGCTGGATGAAATAAAAAAACAGGGATAATGTAAGACCCGTGTAACCTTGGGTTTAAACGCACGTTTATTGTTTTTCTGTGTAGAGTGAGGGCGAAGAGGTAGAAAGCATCGTCTGTTGTCACCGCTGCTTAACAATCGTCGTTTAATTTTGATTTAAAGCTTTTGTGACTGCAGTAATTCATATTCTTACTTCTTTCGGTAAAGTCACGTTGAAGGGAAACAATAAAATAATAAAATATATATAAAACAATAAAAAATAATATATTGTATTATTTTATTGTTTCCCTTCAACGTGACTTTACCGGAAGAACTAAGAATATAATCGTCGTTTACTTGGCAACGTGTTTGTGCTGCTCTACCAGCAGCAGGGCCCCAGCCGCCGCCACCACCCGCTCAACCGCCACCTCCTCAGGCCGTCGACATTCATGAGCTCCCACCACCCGCCCGTCTACATGGAGGAGGAGGAGGACGAGGAGGGTGACGAGGGCTGCATGCACGGCCTCGTGGGAGGCCGCATGGGGGCGACCGTTGACGACGACTCGTCGGTGAGGCAGCGGCAGAACCGCAACCCCTGCCACGTTCACCAAATTCTCCGGAGCGGAAGACGCCCCCGCCGGAAAGTAAGACGCGCGTCCGTAACTCTGCCGTGTGTGCGCCGTCAGGACGAGGAGGGAATCCCGCCGGCGCTCAGGCTCACGCCCGAGTACCAGGAGCTGGTGCAGCTGAAGCGCCTGCGCAGGCAGAGGCTGGAGGCGATGCAAGCGCAGAGCGCGTATGTTCAGCACCACGGATACAGGGTAACTCGCACGCAACAGACGCATGTGAACACGGACACACGCGCATCTTGACACACACGTGCAACGACAACAACAACAGTCAGACTTCGCCACCAAGTGACGGCGACGTCACCAGGCGCTTGTGCCAGGCTAGGTGCACTTTGAGTCACGCGAAGTGTGGAAGTCTCGCGCTGCTGCCAGGAGGAGGACCCCAGGTGTTGTGGGATGACTGGCCGAGATAACTGGCAGACGCACCACTTGTGCTCCCCACTACGCCAGCATTCACTAACACAGTGTCACAAGCACTCTGCTAGACGTGCTATTCACAGTTACGGGAGTGCGGTTGGGGAGGGGTGGGATTATCGGGCGTCAGCGAAGGGTGCCGATTGCTCTGCGCTGGAGGCTTGCTGTTCCGTCTCCCGTTCCCCAGTTACAGCTGAGGTGTTGCGCGGGCGTGATCGGGGGCACTTACCAGCTGCCCCCCGTACATCTTTGTCGTAAATACCCAGGCGCACGGTCGCACGCACGCATGCACATACGCGCGCGAGCACGAGAGAGACAGAGAGATGGCGGTTGAGTTTTTACTTTACTCGCCGTCAGCCGCACGCCCATCCGGGCGAGGTGGCCCCAGCCGCCGGCCAATCTCTCAGTCAAACGGCCGCCTCCCAGGGGGCCTGCTGACATTTACACGCTGCACGTCATCGTGCCAGGGGCAGTCATGGTGGTGGTGGTGGTTAGAAGGAGAAGTACCGTATTCTCCTGTTTTCTGAAGCGAACGGTGGGGGGGAGGGTGTCTTTTAGATAGACCTATGTACGTGGCCTTTTTATGTGATGAGAATTTGAATAACTGTATTGATTTCCAGTCCAGTCAACAACTTTATTTTAATTTAGTCCACCGTCGCCTGGTCAAACAGGCGGAAGACCAAGTCTGATTCGGATATCGCTCACCACTGATGCTAACCACGGCCGGGAATCGAACTCGGTTTTACCCAGTTCGCAGAGCACGCCGAGGTCATGTAGTACGATCCCCGGAGGAGATGGAGCGATGCGACCAGCTCGAACGCAGGAGCGGGATGAATTGTGTCCTCCATCCAGCAGTGGATTGCCTATGGCTGACGACGATGTTGGTTGTCAGCAAGGCAGTGTGTGCTGTGCTGTGGCAGCCACTCACAGAAACTTGCGGGGTGCAGATAAAACCATTGCTGGCGCTCCCGACAGCAGGGGCGCCTGCGCGAGCGGCTGTATGCCGGTGAGGAGAGGGTGACGCGGGTTGCGTGTGCCCTCGGGCACCGATCGTCTGTTCCTGAATAATGAGACCAGGGGAGGAGGAGGCGGAGGAAGAGAGGAGGGGGCAAGGAGGGGAGATGAGAACTGGGGAGGAAGAGGAGGATGAGGTGGGGAGAATGAATAGCTGGAGGAGGAGGGGGAGGGGACAGAGCCCTGGAGTGGTGGGGGAGTGGTTGGCGCGCTAATGGCTCGTCCATATGCAGGCAGTTCTGTGTCCTCCGCCATGCCGAGTGCGTACTCTCCATTGATCCCTCGTCATCGTGCCTTTTTTCACCCTTTATTCTCACAGTGCACACACACACACACACGTACACACACATAACAAACCGGTGAAACCTCCCGGCTAATGGATCTTGTGGAATAGGACCCACATTTAATTTCTTCAACCGCGTAACAAAGTGTGCCCCTCGTCAACGGCTCATGGGAAATAATTGCCTGCCAAGACCATCCCGTTCACCGCTTCACCCACGCCTCTCCACTCGTTTCATTCTCTTTCCTCTTCATTCTCTTTGCATCTGGTCCTCGGCCTGTTTATCCATCACAAATCTTCCTCTCTCTCTCGCTCTCTCACTCGCTCTCTCCTCCCGTTGTCTCCGATTCACGAGTGGTGCCGCATCGTTAAACGCGGCTGGACTTGAGAGGCGCGCGACTCATCGAGTCTCGCCGACGTCTCCTCCTGCTGCGGAGGTTGTCACCGTGGTGCGGATCTCCCGTCCGCTTTTTGGGCTAAACTAATTATTTAGTGACGCTGCTGCTGCGATGGCAGCGAGTGGTGTACAAGCACAAGCAAGAAAACGCTCAACATGCTCGTTTTTAAAAACAGTCTGGCCTTAAAAAAATGTTCAATGGACAACATTTCGGTCAATGGCCCTTCTTCACAGCAAGGCCGAAGAGGTAGAGTTGACTTTTGACGATGTGCGTTTTCTTGCCAAGGCCACGGTGTTATTGACGAATGTGTTATTGGGTTGTGTGCCACGCGGTAAGCCCCGGAGCCCCTGCGAACGGTGCCTCACGCCACTGAAAGGGCCTCCACTCGGGGGATCGTGAGAGAGCCCCTCGAGAGAGGGGGTTTGGTTCGCTCCTCTTCTTGGAAGAGGTGGGGAGTACCCATACTTTACCCTACCACACGCTACCTGCTGCAAGTGACTGCGGTGCAACCCATTTATACCGCTGGGTGGACAGGGGCAGGGTGGTGGCGAGGGGTGGGTGAAAGGGGCGGATTGAAGGAATTTGCACTGTTGTTTTAGCTGCTGCGCCGGGAGATCACCTTCATGTTAGCTGGAACACTCGGTCCGGTCCAGTGAACTCTTGAATCCAAAAACATCGTCTGGTTTGCGGAGTGACTAACAATCACACTCCTCCATAACTACCACCCACTCTGTCTCGGTGATAGAAAAGGTTAATTATTCAGGATTAATTTCAGCCGGAACTGTCTGGGGCTGAGTTACAGAAAACATTTACCTACTCCCCTCCCCACCCCACTCTCAGGGAGGTTGGAGGTTGTGGCGATTTAGTGGGGGGGGGCGGGGGGGGTGCCGGTGAATATTCCCTGAGCAATGAAGCGCCGTTTTTTGGCGATGGTGGTGACGAAGATGACGATGAATAATTTAGAATACAAATCGGCTTGCGAGGGTCGCCGCGTGCGATGCAACGCGCAGCACGTGGCGCGAGCAGAGCGTGGTGCGATTGATCTCCGAGGGACTGCCGGCCTACCCCTCCCGCGGGGGCGAGCGGGCTGCGGCACGAGGCGAGCGTGTGGGAGGAGGATTTGTGCCCTTGGCCACCGCCGCTAATCCCCCCCTCGCTCCCGCCCCCCGCACGCACCCACGTGTGGAGCCGCCTTACCACCGAGGCACCCACGCGAGACAAAGACACAGATCCGCCCTGTAGCCGTGAACAGACTGCCAGGGCAAGTGCCGTTAGCGAGCACCTTTTAAAGTCGGCCAGGTCGGCACGGCGCATGAAGGGGGTGGGTGGCCAGCACCACGCCCGGCCGCCTTTGTCTCCCGAGTAGTGATGTTTGCACATTTTAGGCTGAGTCGACCTAGGGAAGGCCCAGGACCGATTCGGATAATCGTCACTGATGTTGGTCCTGAGTGGGAATTGAACTCGGGTCGCCGGGTTCATAGCGCAGTGCACTAACCACTTCACTCACACGGACACACATAGAAACGGGGAAACGGACACACTGACACACACGTGGACACAAGATGTACACACAAACACAGAAAGACACACATGGACACGTACAGACATGCACAAGCATACACCCAGATACACATGTACACCCAGATACAAAGACAAAGATCCCACTTATAGCCTGAACAGACTTTTGGGGCGAGTGCTGTTCGCGAGCACCTGTGAAGTTCGGCACGGCACACGAGGGGGTGGGTGGCCAACACCACGCCCGGACCCCTTTGTCTCCCTAGTGGCGATGTTTACACACCACACCAGGTACTCATTTGAGGCTGAGTCGACCTAGAGGAGGCCCAGGATCGGCTCAGATAACTGGTGTTGGCCGTGAGCGAATATTGAACTCGGGTCACCAGGTTCGTAAAGCAGTGCGCTAACCACTACACTACCGCTTTCCTACCCACATACATACAAGAAAACCTCCGAATTAGAATTCCGTGTCTGAGCGAGACTTGTTCAGCTGCAGCTGACCGGGGTCAGTCTCTGCGCGGAACGCTCCAGGCTGGATTCAAAGTGACTCATCACTCATCGTAGCAACGGAAATGATTTCTCGCCACCGCCGCCGCTGCTACCGGCCGTCACGTACATCTCTCTCTTTCATGTTATCCTTGTTTACTCGTTTACGGATGAATATCGCGAGACGGGTTGAGCTGTCTTTTTTGATTTCCAGCAATAAATCAAACGAGATGTAAGATAATTAATTTCATGTGTGTAATCATAATGAATCATTGAGTACATTTGGTGTTGGCGCTGTTGTTCGTATTGCACAAGGCAGTCACGACGGAATGCGCTGCTGTGTTTAGTAGTTTTACAGTCGGGGGAGACGTCTAATCCCAATCGAGTAATTTGTGCAGCAATTTTTTTCAAATTTGGCAACTGCCACGCAATAGATTCCTCGTTTCAATCGACATCAGGGGGATCTGTAATTTCCACTGTGAAGCAGATGGCAAATATCATTAGTTGAACATATGTTTGCAAATATCATTGTACGGTTAACATACACGCTGCACCAGGACAGCCTGCCGGTTTAAAATCGTGAACTTCTGCAACGAGCGGCGAACACGCTAGTGCTTGGCCGCGTAACTTCCCCAACGCGTTCCGGGAAGCGAATCCAGGCTGTTGCAGTGAGAGGGGAGCGCCGAATCCTCACCACTATGCCGCTGTGGGGAGTTATTCAAAGAGAAAGAGCGACCCACGGAATCTCACGGCTCTTACCTTGTAGCTACATGCTCAGGCCATGTGTTTATATTTGAGGTTAAGTGGCCGTGGACGAAACAGTGGGTATGTCCGTGTGTGAGTGCGCGTTGTGTGTGTGTGTGTATGTGATATGACACTTCACGTGGGGTCAAAGTGCACATAGCCTGGCACAAGAGCACTTAGCCGTAATGACATCACCACCACTTAATGGCGAATGGCAGCTGTTGTTGTTGTGTGCTAGTGTGTTGCCATACTGGATTTGACCCCTCAGCGGTATGTGTCTTTCTGTGTGTGCGCGTCCGTGTCTTCGCGTGTGCTTGCAGTGCGACGCGTGCGGTGCGGAGCCGATCCAGGGTGTGCGGTGGCGCTGCAGCGAGTGCCCCAGCGATCGCACCGTCGACTTCTGCGACTCCTGCGCCGACTGGTGAGTTCCCCGTTTGCTCGCTCGCTCACTCGCTCACTTTTTCACTCGCCTGACGACCCCTCTTTAACGCGACGCGGTGTGTTGCAGCCTGTACGAGACGGACTCGCACAAGGCGGCGCACAGGCTGGAGCCCGTGTACCGCGCCGAGTGTGGCCTCCTGGACCGAGACTACTGCATGGCGGAGAGCGGCAGCTACAACTACTTGGACCCCAACTACTACCCGGCCAACAGGTGAAGGGGGCGGCCACGCCCCTCCCAAGCCACCTCCGCCGCAAACGCTGGAGGGCACCACCCCACGGCCCCCCCACCCCGCCCGACCTGCGGAGTGTGAGCCGCCGTGACCTGACCCGAACTCCGACTGGGACTTTAACTCCCCCCGCCTCTGGCGTCAGCTGTTCCGCAACGCCTGCGCGGCCGTCGCTTCGGTCGCGCTTGTTGCGGTTGTTGCTGTTGTGGTTGGCGGTGGGTCGATGTTCTCGGGCCCGCGTTGACCAGACTCTGGACGCCCATCTGGGACTCGCGCTCCGCGTGGTTTCGCCCGTTTCCAGCGACCGCGCAGCCGTCGCTCCGGTCGTGGCGGTGGCGGCCGCGGCCGGACAGAAGTGGCCGTGGTTGAGGGACTCGGAGCACAAACCTCGGTGGTCACTCCGAAGGTGGCGAGCGGGCGGGCAGGCATGTGGGCGCTCGCGTGGGCGCATGCGCGAGTGTGTGGAGTTCGTTTTTTTTCATGGGGACTCAAGTGTGTGTGAGTGCGTGAGTGTGAATGGAGGGAAAATCTTTACGCGTGAACGTGTCTTTGATGTGTTGTGGTGTGTATATGTATATATTCAGTGTGTGTTACGGAGTGTATGTATGGGTGTGCGTTGTTGTCTATATGTGTTTGTACATAGCGTACGAGTGGGGGTGTGTCTGTTTGTGCGTGTGTACGAGTGAGCGGTGTGCTGTACGGTGTGTGTGTCGTGTATATAGCGTGTACGAGAGGGCTGTGTGAGTGGGCGTGTGTGTGTTTGTGCGTGTGTACGAGTGAGCGGTGTGCTGTGTGTGTGTCGTGTATATAGCGTGTACGAGAGGGCTGTGTGAGTGGGCGTGTGTGTGTTTGTGCGTGTGTACGAGTGAGCGGTGTGCTGTGTGTGTATCGTGTATATAGCGTGTACGAGAGGGCTGTGTGAGTGGGCGTGTGTGTGTTTGTGCGTGTGTACGAGTGAGCGGTGTGCTGTGTGTTGTCGTGTATATAGCGTGTACGAGAGGGCTGTGTGAGTGGGCGTGTGTGTTTGTGCGTGTGTACGAGTGAGCGGTGTGCTGTACCGTGCGTGTCTCGTGTATATAGCGTGTACGAGAGGGCTGTGTGAGTGTTTTGTTACTCTTCTCCATGACCGAGAGGCTACTCGGAAGCCTTTGGCAGTAAACTTGTGTTCCGATTGTACCTTTTATACGACGCAGACATTCCTTTGCTGTGGGCTTTGTGTGTTCCTCTCCTCGGTCTCGCTGCCTCGACGGGCGATTTCACATTTCGTTTCGCGTCATTTCCGAATCTCCTTCGCTCTCAGTGTTGTCAAACGAGGTGTTACGGCCGGTGATGACTACACTTTCCCCGTCTTTCTCTCTCGCTTCATGCGCTCTCTTCGCTCATCCCACGCGCTTCATTAATCCCCAATTACCCCTGTACGTTCGCTCCCCCCGCCCGCTCCCAGGCTTCCCCTCTCCTGCATCTGCCCAGCAGTGTTTTCGTATTGTCTGAAACATTTCACTCGCCGTCACGTTCGCAACTTGTGTACCCATTTTTCACCGGCGCGTCGGAGCCGAGCCAGCGCGGGGGACCCTTGCGGCATGGGGTGTTGACCGCTGACTTCGTGCCGTGCTGAGCCGAGCCAGAGCGCTGGCCTCGCAAGACATCCGAATGTGGCCAAGCAGGGCCAGTGACAGGGGTGATGATGATGATGATGATGCGTCCGTTATACGCAACATTGGTCAGTTCGATTGGAGCGTGGTGTCACCGTGCCGTCTAGCCGAAACTCTCATCGTTTACCGGCATGTGACGTTAGCGGCACGGCTCGAAAAACAACCTGGCACCCTCCTGAGCCGCCCAGGACTGGCTCGGTATGGCCACGGCACGGCTCGGATGTGCGGTGGAAAAAAAGCGGTGTTATTACGGAGAAGGTAAAAATCTGTGGAAGGAACTGCTTCCTTCGGGTGACGCCTTCAGGCTCCGGTCGGAAGGAATGCGATGCACGACAGACGTAGCGTGGTTAAATTACATTCCTCGGCCACTGCGCGCAACCGTCGGTATTCTCCAAAAAACTACAAATGATCGAGGTTTCTTCAAGAAAGACTCGGCCCAAAACAGCTTTTGTAGACGCGTACCTTTGCCCTGTGTCCCGGGCTGACCGACACGAGTTCCAATGTACACTCGCGAGAAAAACTTTAAATCGACTTTTTGGGATTGGCACCATAGTAGTAGCATCCTAGTGACACCACTGCTGTGATTCAGCCCATCAGCTCTCTTGGGGTCGATAAAATGACTACCGCTTTGTGGGTAAGCCGACGGTGGTTGTCCTATGGATAGACTCGCCCCCACCATATGAACCTGGAATTTCCATTGGTCGCTTGGCCGCAAACAGGATACGAGTCCCATCTCAGTGCTCATTTGAGCGACGTTTCATTTGCCCGCAGTGAACTATTGTACTGAAACAGTGACGTTACCGGAAGCCCATCTAAAAGTCACTCTAAAGTTTTCTTCTCGCTAACGAAGCCTCGGACTTGCGCCGGACATGCACGGGCACACGCCCGCGGAACGTGCCTGCACGGTAGCCGCTGTGTTCGTTTTGGGCTGCGGCTCCCGCTGACGACGCTTTCTCAGCAGCTGCCTCCTCGGTAGCCCGGGGCACTTGCCCCAAAACACTTGGAAGGGGTTCAGCTGCCTTAGGAGCTTCAGCGCCGCAGAGTCGTGCATCCCGCGTGGGTTCTCACTATCGCCACAACAACAGGCGGCTACTGCTGCTGTTGCCGCCAGTCTTCGGGTATTTTTGTTTATAACCCGCGGTTGTGATCAGTCCAGACTCTGGGTTAATGAGTTTTGTCGCGTGCGTATGTGTGCGCGAAGTTCTGTGAAGGTGCCATTGCTTTGGTTTTTTTTGCCGGCCACACTTTGCGCAGTTGCGCACTGTTTATTTAAAACAAAGTATAAATTGAAATTAAAGTATATTGAAAAAAGTGAATATGAATAACATCTTAAGAGTTTGAAATTGTACATAGAACCTTTGTATGAAAACTGACCGTGTCCCTCCGCTTAGCGGAGTCTCTGTGAGTTTCGGGCGCACATCCCAGCCAGCCACCCCTCCTCCTCCCCCCCCCTTCCTAACCCATCCTAATTTTAAAAAAAGAGTTTAAAACGTGTTAAAGAGGGAGAGCGAGCGACAAGGAGCTCACGAGTCCAGGGGTGGCTGCCCCGGTGCCACCCGGCACGCAATGGGCTTGCCTGCCTTCGACGATGGGCGGCGCTGCGGTGCCAAATACCGCCGCTCTGAAGCATACCGTTACAGCCAATCGGGTGGCCCGATCCCTTCGCGTGTCCCGATCCCTTTCTTCCTATATGGTTATGAGCTACGCCCATGAGCCTGCCCCATCAATGCTGCTGCTACTCTGCGTTGGGGTTTCTCGCGGCTGTGTCAGCCGCGTGGCTCCTCCCCCAGCGCGTGTTCGGGTTTTAGCGACGACGCCCGATGTTTCGCCCCCCGCGCGCTGGGGGAGCTTCTTCAGGTAGGCAAGCAGGCACGTGGGGCGAAACGTCTGACGTCGCACCGAACGCGTGGTACGACCAGAAAATGCATTAGGACAGCCGCGCTATTCTCCGGGGCGACAATCGTGAAGTCATTCCTGCTGCGTTTTTTTCCTTCAAAGAAAAAAAAGACAATACTTCAGCCAATCGGCTTCTGCTAACACTAACTGTACTGGCCACCTTTGCCCATATATAGTTATACCATGCCGCCCTCGTCACGCCCCCTTTGGCCACACCGAGTTCCGATTGGCCGTGACTTTGTTTTTGAGAGGTGGCAGCGGTGTTTGTGACTGGCAGAGCTTCCTCTAGCGTGTTGCGTTCATTAATCGTAGCGACCATAGCGACGTTTGTACAGCACTAGACATGTTTATATTGTCACGTGTAAAATAAAAAAAATCTGAAATAAAGAAAACATTTCAGCGCCTGAGCGTAAAAGGAAACCTGCGACAGCGTACCGCGTGCGTGGTTTATGACCGAATCGTGAGAGTTCATTCAGGTCAAGGTGCAGCCCTGCAATTGCTGGTGCCAGAGCCCCCGTGAGTGGGAGCTTTCGAGAGGCCATCCAGAAGGGTATTTTGCCCACTCTTCCATGCTGGAAAGAAATTTTGAAGAGGTGGGAACCAGGGGATTGAATAAGAGACCTTCACGCGCCTACACTGGGACCAGGGGATTGAATAAGAGACCTTCACGAGACCATACTGGGATCAGGGGATTGAATAAGAGACCTTCACGAGACCACACTGGAACCACGAGATTGAATAAGAGACCTTCACGAGACCACACCGAGGACCAATGTTTGTGTATAGAACAATAAATATCCTTTATTACAGAAACTCCGAAACGCAGTGGAGGCGGTAGAGTTAAGACTGTCGGCAAAATTGTCTGAGGTCGCGTCTGGAGGCCGCTCGGAATCTGTTTAGGGAGGACACGGGGAAGGAAGCGGCGCCAGATGATTCCGACGGGTGCGTTGGCACGCTGGCGCGCGCTCGGAGCAACAGCAGACGCTGAGACCATAAGATGGACGGTTTTTAATCTATGCTGATCTTGTACGGACGATGACGGTGATGATGACGATGATGGTGGTGGTGGAGATGACGATTATGATGGAAGCCATACGTGATCGTGTTGATGATGGTGGTTGCGGTGGTGAAGATGATGGTGATTAAGACAATGCTGATGCCAATAGGGTTGATGGTGATTCGATGAAGGTGATGGGGCGATGACGATGATGACAAACGATGAGATAGTGCTTATGCTGACGATAACGCCTCTCGGCAAGACGGTGGCAATAGGGATCATTCTCGTTGGATGGAGCAGGTGATGACGATGATCTGGTTCGTCTTCTGAGTTCGTCGAGACGCCGCTACTTCAGGGAGTCCAGCGCCTTGCACACCTGGGCAAACACCTCGTCCGGCGAGCCCTCGGCGTTGATCTGCCCAGGGGCAGGGGGCGGGGGGACAAGGGTGGCAGGGGGGGGAGGGAGCAGCAGGAAAGCGAGGGGCAGCGGCAGTGACGTCATGATTGGATCTTACGATCCAATTTATCCGAATGAACGCGCGGATTGCTCAGTAAGTTGACCGTGCTGTTCGCACACGAGGTGGGGGGGGGTGGCCAGTACCACACCCTGCCTAGTGGCGATGGTCACGCATCGCACCAGGTTGTCACCGATACAACCAAACGCACGCACAGGGGAAACTCGGCGCACCCATCTGTACCCCCCACGTGTCCCTGGCCATCGCTGCAGCCATGGCGACAGCGGCGTGGAGGGGCACTGAGATCACCACCCAGCCTCTACCCCCATCGTCCGCTCGCCCCCCCACGGCGCTGGCGCCCCCTCGCGGCGCTGGCGGCCCCCCCCCCCCCCCACCTTGCGCACGATGCCGCGCTTCTCGTAGAGCGCGATCACGGGCTCCGTGGCCGAGTAGTAGGTGCCCAGGCGCTTGCGGATCGTCTCCTCGTTGTCGTCGACGCGGCCGCTCGTCTCGCCGCGCTTCAGCAGGCGCTTCACCATCGTCTCGCTGCCCGCGTCCACGTACAGCAGCAGCGCCGGCTGCGCGATCTGCGCGGGGGGGGACGGGGGGCGTGTGTAGAGCAGCGTGTGCGTGTGCGTGCGCGTTACCACTCGGGCCGACTCGGCTTCAAATGAGTCGCTGGTACGGCGCAGTAAACATCGACACTGGGGAGACAAAGGCGGCTAGGCGTGGTGCTAGCGACTCCATCCCTTTTGCGCGCTGTGCCGTCCGTCAG